TTGAAATTACTACCTACTCTTTAAAATAGTTGAGCTGCTGTTACCTCTTATGTCAGGTGCAGGGCCTAAAATTGTGTGCAGTAGCACACACTATGTGCAGTAGCTTATATTAAGTGTGTAGTAGCAAATTTAAAAGTGTGCAGTAGGTACCTATCTTCGGCTTTTATACATTTTTATTTGATTAATATTCAATATTGATTATTGAAAATTACTAATTAGCATATTGTATTCGTTTAAAATCCTTAACACTAAAAATAATACCGACTACACCATATTCTGGGTGGCTTATATTTTATAATATAGATAATAAGTATATTAACCCAAGCTATTTCTTTTTTAATTTTAAAATGTTTAGTCATATAGCCATATAGGTATCAAGAGCTTTTATAAAAGATTGTCTTAGATTGTATTTAATATAACTAATTATTAATAAATAGCAAAAACAATTATGCAATGAAGTTATATGTGGTATGTGCACTACTAGGTCTATGTTAATTTTTTAAAAATATTTTGGTGTGGAATTAGGTGTGCATTAGCAAAATATTTTAATTAAACCTAACTGACCACCTTATATACGGCTGTAAAACCGTATATGTTCCAGTCTTTCATTTAAAAAATACCTAGTATAGTATTCCTACTCAGACGAATAAAACTCCCAACAAGCACCTTGTTCTATGTTCAATGGTAAATATAAAAATATAAAATATTCAAATTACCTAATATTATTGTTAACGTTAACGACAAAAATATCCGCATTGTTGAGAGTACTGTAAATGTGTAAACAATAAAATAAAAATTTTCATTTTATTATGTCTATTTATAGTTTTATCTTAGTGATTGTTGGTGTTATTAGTGATAAGTGATAGCAACCGAAATCTCAAATCAAACCACATGATCTTGATTACATTGCTTATTAAACTTAAACAGTTAAACTGCTTAAACATTGCTTGTGAAACTGTAAGTACTATTAAAAAATATAATTGTACAAAATACATTTATATAGTACCTAATACTATTGTTTTTATTTGTAAATACCTAGGTAGTGATTACCTACAAAGGAAGCAGTCATCTTTCCAGCTCAATTATAAATTGGTGAGTTGCTTATAATTGTCTTTAATTATGTAAATATATAAGTATTAAGTTATAATTAACAATATAACAATAATTATTATATTTTCATTCTTCATAGTACAGGTACGGATTTTAAATCATTCTATTTTTATCCATAAATATGTGAATCCACAGTGAATCTTACCTAACTTTAACTAGTCTTTAACTTTTTTGGATAATACCTACTTACCTACTACAATAAGTATTCATAAATTTAAAACAATGTAAGATTGTGATTAATGGGTTATATTACTTGTATGTAGTTAAGAAAGTAGTACATTTAACATTATTTGTTCATGTACAGTTTCAGACTTTTAGTACTTAAAACAGGTAGTATATCATACTTACAACCATTAAATGACAAATCAATATCACAACATGTATACAAATGTTAAAAACATATTAACTAAAACCATTATTGTCCTACTAATGAAAATGTTAAGTATCTTGTATCTTGATACAATGAAAGGTGGGCAAGTTAATGAAAATAATTAACTCAGTTAAGAGGACTCGAGTTTTTTTGTCAATTAAACTGGTTAAGTTCAGTTCATAAGGTGATTATAAAATTAACTAACTAGTTAAGTTAAATAGTTTAAAAATATATAACTTTATAACTTAACTTTAATTTTTTAACTAGTTAATTCCCACCTTTATACACTAAATGCATGTATCGTGATACTTTTTTTTTAGTGTCTTGCCCAACTCTGCTTGTAATGCTACGAGGGACTAAAATGATTTTACAAATATTAAAATAACAAAATATATAAAATAGGTATCTTTTCTATTAATTACATGTTCCTTTTGACGTTTAAAATATTACATAATATAATATGTACTCTATTATTCTATTCTATTTAAATATGTTTCTAATTGATTATTGACTATTGTTTAAAGTAAACATGGAATTTGAATGGACAGAAGACATCATTTTGAACCTTATAGATGAGGTGAAAGAACACCCTTGTCTATGGGACCCAAAAAATAAAGATAAAAAAATGAAGAACAAAAAAATTGATGCATTTCAAAACATTGCTAAGAAATTTGGAACAACTGCTGATATTGTTAGCAAAAAATTATCTTAATTATCTCAATTATTAACTTGCTACAAAGCTACAGAGGATGCCGTCGCAAAGCAAAAAGTAGTATGGTTACAGGGTCAGGAAGAAGTGACATATATATTCCATCGTGGTTTGCATATGATTCATTAAATCAGTTCATGCAAAATGTATATACACCTCACGGAACAACAGACACAATAGTAAGTATATTTTATTTTATTACAATATTATAAATGTAGGTATTCATTATAATACAACATTTACTGGAATGAATCTTGCCACTCAACTCTCCCATCTGTCATAAAATATTCTCCAAACTCTTGTCGAATACATTTTGCATCTATACCTGACCTCCTTCCTCTTCTCTCAACTGGAAAAAGCGATGTCATTCCTTCACAATCATTTCTCCATGAACCACTGAACTGTTGTCCATTTTCTTCACGGTCAAATGTGCCTGGCGGTGAATAAATATTTGATGATGTTTTACTTCTTCTTAAAAAATTGTGTAGTAAAACACAACATTCGGTTATGAGTCTTGCTTTATTTGCATCTAATAAAATTGGTTTCCGCAATACACGGAAAACTGAGGACATAATACCAAATACATTTTCAATTGTTCGTCGGGCTCTTGACAGTCGGTATTGAAATATTCGTTTAAGTGATTGGCTGTTATGATTCCCACTGTAAGGTACCATTATGTTTTCTTTTAAAGGAAAAGCACTATCACCAAGAATAACATATGGTACACATGTATTTCGATTTGGTAATGGTTCAGGAAGAGGTAAATTTATAGTTTTATTCTCTAGTTTTTCTGACAAAGAACAGTTACTAAAAACCCCACCATCTGATATCCTTCCTTGGCAACCTATGTTAGCATAAGTAATATTGTAATCTGCATCACATAATGCCATCAATACAATGCTAAATGTGCCTTTATAGTTTATATAGTCACTACCACTGTTCATTGGAGACAATATCACTATATGTTTTCCATCAAGTGCCCCAATACAGTGGGGGAAATTCCATCTTTTTTCAAACAAATCTGATACTTTTCGCCATTCTTCAGGATTACTAGGAATCTAAATAATTTAAAAACAAAAAACCGCATGAATATTCAATAAATACCATATAATAGAAAATACCTACATCAATTGTTGTGGTATTTATGCAAATTTTAATAACTATTATTTTATATTAAAAAGCCGATATAATATATTGAGTTTTTATTTCTTACTATTAAAAAAGTGTAAACTAAAACATTATCATATTAAATTTAGTATATTAGAAATATTATAAATATTATAGTAAACTTTTATAGATTTTATAGATATATCCCAGGTATATGTTACCCAGAGATAAGGTAGCAACACAGTATATTTTATGTATATTAAAGTTTATTTAAAACGCATAAATCAAATTTTATAAGAGATTAAACAGACAACGAATAGTTTTACTAAAATTATTGATGCCTACTTAATACCTATACATAATTTTATATACTACTTATATACCTAACTATAGTCTATAAATATCTATTGTTTTAGCATTTGGAAAGAAATGAAGATGAAACTCAATTAGAAGAAGATGAAGAAAGCATGAGAGATGACAATAATACCGAAGAAATACAACAGTCGTCAATTTCAACATCACCTGAGCAAATCGTCCATCAAAATGCTGAACAAGTTAAGAGTATTAAACAGTCTGCAAGGAAAAGGAAAGTTAGAGAAGAAGATAGCCGTGTCAAAGAAGCGTTTGAATATTTAAAACAAAAAAAAGAAGAAATTAAAAAAAATAAAGATGAATTTTCACTGTTTGGAGATTTAATAGCTACCAAGTTGAGGGACATGGATAAAATAACACAGCAATATGTTATGAATGATATAAATAGTATAATGTTTAATGCTTCTTTAAATACATATTATTCAACTGCACAACAACATCCAAATAATCAACAAACGTCTCCGTTCCAACAAATCCCACCACTACACTCTACATATAAATCTAACAAACAAACACCTGCTGTTCCACCATACTCACATATTCCATACCCACATACTCCATACTCACTCCATGACCAATCATATCAGGCTCCTTCTAACTATATGTATAATCATGATCAAACAACCGCTTCAGCTACACATTTAATGCATCCAAGTTATAAAAATTCACTCCAGATTTCTTCACACTCTGCTCATTCTCCAACTTCTGAAAATCCAACTTTAGTTTATCCTAACTCTTCTTTTTCATCATACAAACAAATTTCAGTTCCTTCAAATTCTTCCACTCATACAGTTGAAAATGTATCACAAGTTACTCCTCACTCTTCTTATCTACCTAACGAAAATATTTCAGATCTTTCAAATTCTGCCACTAATAATAATGAAAATGTATCACGTCAAGTTACTTCTCACTCTTCTTATTCGCCTAATGAAAATATTTCAAATCCTTCAAACTCCATTACTTTTACAACTCTAGAAAACATAACTCAAGTTACTCCGCGCTTAGGAGACCAACATTTTTAGTATAAATTTATAATTTAAATATAATTAAACTATTATATTTGAAACAAGTTATACAATTTTTTTTTACATTATCTTAGAATTTTAGGAAGTACCTAGTAGATATTAATCTTACCAAGAATGTGTAATTGACTTTAATATATTTTTTAATTATTCTAATGTTCTATTCATTTTTTTAATTTAACAAGTCATGATATAATTTTTTATTTGTTATAGTGTTGCTAGAATTTTATTTTGTCTAAGTAGGACACTCAAGTTATATCATTGTAACCTGACAGTTATCTGCTGTACGTTGACCTGTACGGTCGTTTTGCGTTTTACGTCGGTCGCTTATCGCAGTTACCGCTTTACAATTGTTATCTAACCGCATATAGTGCTATATCGTTGCCGTTGTGCTCGCGTTTCATTTCCATATTAATTAGCACCTATATCCCATTAATCACGTACATAATCTATACATAATGTCTATTTGTAATAGCTGTTCTACTGCTATTACATCAAGATCCTTGTCCATTTCTTGCAATGATTGCAAATTACCGTGGCATGCAAAATGCCAAAAACTCACAAAAGAAGACATTGCATTTTATAACGATGAAGGCTCATACTGGAGATGTCACAAGTGTTCGGCAGAAAAAAGAGCTTCTCTACGAATTGATAACCAAATTAATGATGATAATACAAATCTCTCCGATATTAAGGACATTATATTACAACTCAAAGATAGTTTTGAAATGTTTAAAAAAGAAACCGGGAACAACTTCGATCTTATAAACAAAAAAATTAATATGATTGATAAAATCATAACAGATAATCAAAATATGAAAACCCAAATCAATACTCTAGAAAGCAAAATTGAATTCCTTGAACGTCGTTTGATTAATAATGAAATTGTCATTGACGGTGTTCCAGAAAATAAATTAGAAAATTGCTACGAAATAGTCAAAAACATCGGTACTCAACTTAATATTAAAATTACAGACCCTATGATTAATGACTGTCACAGAGTTGGTCGTACACAAAATAATCTTACAAGAAGAATAGTGGTTGGATTCACAAGTCACCAAGATAAAGTAAAAATATTAGACTCTCGTAAAATAATAAGGAATCTGTCCACAAAGAATATTGGTATAGAACCTGAAGTGTCAATATACATAAGAGAAAATTTAACATCAAAAAGCAGTTTCCTATTCAAACTAGCTCGAGACTTCCGCAATCAATACAACTATAAATTCGTCTGGACTAAAAACGGGCAGATTTTCCTCCGCAAAAATGAGTCAGAGAAAATAATCAACGTGGCCAATGAAGAGGTAATTCATAATCTGAAATCTAACTCTACTCATTTAAAATAATTTGTTTCTTATTTGCAAAATCATACTCTCACATTAACATTAAAAAAAATTATCTACAATTTATCAATAACTACATTTATTTAATATTCTTATGTAAACACACACACTATTCAAAATTATTATTGTATTGTCTAATACTTAAATTGTTATTCCCTAATTACGTAAACAGAAAGAAGGTCTTATTAGTGAACGTCTATTTTAATTCATTAGCCAGGTTTTTAACCACTAAATATCACATTAATTATCTTTACAAATATTCATTGAACTTTAAACCAATACACTACTATATATGTCTCTCATGCCATGATTATCTCACTATATTTTATGAACACTAATTATAACACCGATAGTGCATTAGTTCTTGATAACATTAACGATTTGTGTGAAATTGAATGTGTGTATAATAATCTCGACACCGTAATGTACAATCAAAATGCAATAAATATATTTACAATGAATATCTGCAGTATACAAAAACACTTTGATGAATTATGTATTATTTTGGATAATATTGAAACAAAATTTGAGGTAATTATCTTAACTGAAGCTTGGCTAGGTTTAGAAGGTATATCAATTAATAATTTCCAAATGAATGGTTATACGGTTCATGCAACCGAGCATAATAAAAATAAAAATGATGGAGTCGTAATTTATTTAAAAAACACATTACATGTTATCACAGTATCAGAACTCAACATTCAAAATATAACAGCCCTAGAAATTGTCTTCAAAAAATCTAAAACTGATTTTCTGATTTACCCACTGTACAGATCACCCAATAGTAACGTTGATTCTGCTCTAAATGAACTAAATGATACCATATTATACAGATCTACCCTAATAGCCGCTAAATATAAAATTATATTGGGTGACATTAATATTGATTTGCTTAAACCCTCAAAAATAAAAGAAGACTATTCGCTTATAATGGCACAGTTTGGTTTTTTACCATTAATCAAAAACATCACCAGACCTACCTCGAAAACATGTATAGACCACATATTTTTAAAAACAAAATCCTATAACAATCTGCTACCAATAGTTGTGCATACAAACATAACAGATCACTACCCAACGACTCTTAGTATAGGTAACTTATCAGATAACCGTAATAACAGTCCGAACCCCTTGAAAGTCTTAAAAATTGATGACTCTAAGCTAACTAATCTGGTTCAAAATCATAATTGGTCAGAAATATTCGACTTTAATGATGTCAATTTAGCCTTACAGTACTTGGTTGAAACTATAAATAAACTAAAAAAAAACTCCACAACAGAAATAACTATTTCATCTAAAACTAAAAAATTAAAGCCATGGGCCACAACAGCGATTATTAATTCCATTAGATATAGAGATCGCTTACATATACAAGTTAGAAAATTCCCTCAAAATCTGAAATTAAAAAGCTACTACATACGATTTAGGAACAAATTAACCAATGTAATAAAAGACGCTAAGATAACGTACTATAAAACTGAAATACTGAATTCCGGAAATAATATAAAACTTAAATGGAAAATAATCAAAGATATAATTGCAAAAAATAAAAAACAAAATCATTTTGTAAACTTAATAAAATTAATTAATGATACAACAGATATAAAAAAACAAAATAGTATATTAGCAAATCAATTTAACAATTATTTTGCCAACATGGCATCAGATTTAGTTGCACAATTACAAAAGCGTAAAATTGAAAACACCCCCCTTATTACTCCATCTGAATTAAATAATACAGAAATCCAAAACAAGCCTTCCTTAAATAAATTTGAAACTATAACAACAGAAGAAATATTAAAAGCAATCTCGAAATTAAAAAATGGGTCATCTCCTGGAATTGACAAAATTACAACTGATTTATTAAAAAAACATAGTACCATATTTTGTATACCTTTATGTCACATTTTTAACCTAAGTATTTCTCAAGACCTAATACCAGATAACTTTAAAGTAGCCATAATCACACCAATACACAAAAAAGGTCCAACAACATCATATAGTAACTTCCGGCCAATCTCAGTAATTTCAAATATAGCAAAAATATTCGAAAAAATAATAAAAAAGAGGTTACTAGACTTTTTAGAATCAAATAATCTATTCTTTAAGCACCAATTTGGGTTCAGACCAGGTAAGGGAACTGACCAAGCTATAGCCAATGTAACTAAAACTATATATACTGCCTTAGAAGAAGGGAAAAAATGCGCTACTATTTATCTCGACTTAACCAAAGCATTCGACACAGTAGATCATAACATACTTTTAAATAAAATGAATAATATCGGAATATCCGGTTCCGCTCTTTCTCTTTTTACATCCTATCTTAATAATAGAAAACAAATTTTAAAGATTAATGATTCCATCAGTAATGAGTTGTCAATAAAATGTGGAGTCCCACAAGGTACAACGTTATCTCCCATTTTATTTAATATTCAATTAAATGATATAAAAACACTTAATTTAAAAAGTCAAGTAATATGCTACGCTGATGATACTGCACTAATTTGCATATCTAATACATGGAACGAAGTTTTTAATAATATTGAGACAGACCTCAAAACCATTGATAACTGGTTAGGTGTTAATAACTTATTTTTAAACTTTGAAAAATCAGCTATTATACTACATTCTCTCACCAAGCCCACTTTACCGAGCTTCAATTCAATTAAAATCCACGATAATACATGTCAGATCCATGACCTATGCCACTGCAAATCAATCAATATAGTAAAAAATTTTAAATATCTAGGCATTGAAATGTGCTCGGATATGAAGTGGCTAGATCAAATTACATCGGTTTGCAATAAGTTGAAAAAATTAGTTTATATAATAAAACAACTTCGTGATATTCTACCACCTAAAGACATTAGAATATTTTACTTAGCTCTTGTTGAATCGCAAATCACATATGGTTTAATAGGTTGGGGTGGTGCCTATGATAATATTCTCTCCCTACTTCAAACCTGTCAAAACACAATTATCAAAGTTGCAATTAAAAAAGACCGTAGATATCCTACCGAAAAAATATTTAAAGAGTTTAATGTATTAAATATTAAAAACCTGTACTTTAAAATAAGCATTTTATATATAAAAAAACACAATATACTGTCCCCTTTGAACCATGGTGTCAATACTAGGTACGCACTAAATAAATACTCCCAATTTTGGCCAAAAAAAACCGGCTGTCGAATGGTATTTGATTTCATAGGGACCCAGATTATTAATTCAATGCCAACTTATTTAGCGAACTCACCATTGCCATTATTTAAGAAACATATCACACACTGGTTAATGTATGAATGTGACGTCACTAAATATGACTAAAAATATGCCACTCTGTTCACACACATATTATCATTCAAAATCTTATGTTACCTATTGCTTCCATGTATATATTTATAGTATTTATAATATTAGTATTATTTTCGTCATGAATTATTTTGTACCAATCTACCTATAACATACTTCATCTGTTTTTGTTTTTACTTCTTTTGTACAATTAGGTTATTAATTTCAAACATAAATACTGTAGATGTCTGTCAATTATAATTTGTATGTAAATGTGTTATGTATAGTAGATAACCCTGGGCCTCCACACGAGTATGTCTCAGTGAGGCCCAGTAATCTCATAGATTTAAATTTAAATAAAATAAAATAAATAAAATAATTGTTCAAATTTTCGTGATTTTTGAGACATTTATCAAAATTCTAATTTCATAATTTTTTTTTAAATGTCAACATTGACAAGACAAAGTGTCAATAGTCACAACAACTTATGAAGTACCTAGCATTACATTTTCAAGTTTTTCAACCTAGCAAAAATTTTTTTATCAACATTAATTACATTGCAACAAATAAAAATCGAAAATTCCATGCACTTATAAATTGCTCAACATGTGTCAAAATATTTTGAAAATGTTATGATGTATAGAAAATGTTTATATGAATATTCAGTGAAAATGTCATCTATCTATGGTCTATTTTTTTTTAGAGTTACTCAAAACACCAAAATAGTTTTTGTCAAAGCCTGTTTTTGCCTAAAATATAGTTGTTTTTTTTCTTGGCTCTTTTAAAAACTTCCTATCTTATTTTCAAATGTAGACCTCAAAATGCACTAACTAGATTTACTTTCCCATCTGAAAAAGTACTGAAGTGAAAAATCGAAGCATTATTTTGACTACTTATTATAGTGTACACAGACACAAAAAATAGAACACATAATTGTAAAATCAATACATTGTTATAATTACAATCTATAATTTCTTTCATATTATTTTATTTTAATAAATATATGAATAATAAATACTTAATATGTATTTCACATTTAAACATATACCTTAGGTATACATTTTTACGTAATTATGAGGTCTGTGGTTTTAACCTATATCAGTTCATAACCTTTTTCGAATGAAAGAACACTTAACATTTTATAAGGTTTTCGCAGAACACAGCCGCGTAAAATAAAATAGTAATATACTACGTTTTTTAATTTATTAACCTAAAATGATTCCATACACCATACAGTATATTGTTATACACGTCTTATACTTTTGTGTGTTGGAAGTCCATAAAAGTCAAAACGTCAAGACAATGAAACTAAACATTTTTTTGGCGAACACTTATGCCAAGTCCACGAAACACCTGTGTTCTGCGAAACACCGGTTAAGAACCACTGACCTATTTACTAAATGAGTGCACTCATATGCACATTTCAAACTCCTTAAAACACATATTAAATTGTATATTACATACAAATGCATGTCTTCAAATCATTTCCGGTATTTATGGGTATTATATTTTGCAATTTGTGTTACTATAATTTCAGGCGTATTGTTATCGACGGACTTGACTTGAAATTTAAACTGATGCCATAAAGATAACGAAAACGTGACATCCGTGATGATATACAACCGATAGACGGACGGCAATTATATTATAGCAGATATACCAGGGGTCTCCAACCTATTTTATTCGAGGGCCACAGAAACTATCGAAAGCTCTTATGGCGAGCCAAAAGTGTAGAAACGCGTCATATTATAATTTTTAATTTAATAGAAATATAAAAAATGTATAGAAATTATAAATACTTAAAAAAAATGGTTCTTATAACATACTTACTTAAATCTGCTTAGTTATAAAATTATAGGAGGTAATATTGACACGTGCGCGATACCAATTTTAGATATTGTACACATATTTGAGATTATTTACTGTCCTTTAGGGAGCCGGTTAAAATTTGTTTTCGGGCCTTACTTTGGAGACATCTGTAGTATACAGTCATTACAGTCGTAATTTACACACCTATTACCTGCGAAATATTTACAATAATATTATGAAACAAAATATGTTAAATAATGATGGATATAATTTGGAAATGTTGTTGTTCTCTAATACCAGTTAATACACGAATACCGTAATTTTGCAAATTTTGCTATTTTAATTGCAAATAATTGTTCAGGTGTTTGCTGCACAAAAATTCGGTCCTTATAGTGACCTTACACGCATATGATGCGGATTGTGTAAATATGTTAGGAAAGTTAAATTTGTCATTAGAAATATTTGAATTTACAACTGGTATTAAACAAATACAATTATACCATGTTTTGATTTTAACTTTATTTTATAAATTTAGATAAGTCAAAAATTATAAATCCCCACACATATTATAAACCAAACTACATTTAAAAAACTAACTGTGACATATTATATTATATATTTATATCAACAACGATACCAATTTTATCAACGTAAGTCGAAAATAGACGACATTTTAATATGTCTACAAATATCTCAAAATATGTTTGAAATTATATGATGTTCACAAAATGGTATTATAATTTTTTTAATTAATACTAAAAAATAGAATCGATTTTGCCAAATACTGGCGTTGAGTAAATATTCCCGTTCTCCGAATGTGTTTTGTTGGTTTTTCCGTATTATTAAAAAAATTACTGTACTTTTTTTCCGAAAGTACCAACTAGAGGTATAATAATCTACCATAAACCACTTTAAATGTTGAAGGTTGAATTGATCTGTGCATTTTTTCTGCTCCAAAACACGATGGCCCACCGAATAAAAAAACCTCGCACATAAATAATCAAAATTAATTCATCGCTTCTCTTAGAACTAAAACTAATTTTTACAAATAAACCTACTAGTTTTCGATTGGAATATTATAAATTAAATATACTAACACCTCTGTAAATTTTGACATCGTGGTTTTTTAGAATTATTTATGGCCGTCGATGTCTAAATAAATATTGCATAATCTCTAGCTCCGTTGAAATCCCCTAGAAATAATTACAATTACAATACATAGAACTCGATGTCTCGACTTTTTTGATATCTAAACTTGTATCTGTTCGTTTTGAGTTTCGACAAAACCCGAATAGTTCACGTATATAAAACTAGTAATATCATATATAATATGTATAGGCTTAGGAAAAATGTAACACTATGATGTTTCGCAGGTTTTACCTAATTGTAAAAGTACATAGGTACAGGCGGCGTGCCGCACATGTATACCTGCCTTTTAGGTGTAATAACTAATAATATAACGAAATATTTATCGATTATCAGTATAGGTGTGTACTGTGTATAGTATATACCTATATAGAACATGTAACATTGTAAATGCTTCAGATAACACAGCCATCGAACACTGCACATAATTTAACGTTATATATATATATAACTACCTTTATAAAATATTAAGAATACGCCGCCTCGACGTATAATATGATAAGTGATATTGTATTGTATGTGATATTCGACGAGAGGGCGGCGATAATCTGAAATATGCTCAATAAACGACTGGAAACTTTTGCCCGGTTTATATTTATCCGATATATGGGTGTGAACGAGATACTGCGTGGTGAAGAAAAAATCCACAATCCGCCATCCGCCATCCGCCATCTGCCATCGTCGTGCGACACCGAGTCGCAAGGAACACTACTCCCGCAGCTGCTCCGGTGGCGTGATCGACATCGTCGTCTGGTCAAGTGCGGAAAATACCACGTGCGGAAAACAATTTTTCATCGACGTCGACGTTCATGATTGACTTCTCTATTCACGACGATGTTATAATGGAACACAACTACTAACACCTAAATTGGAGTAGCGGCCGCGTAAAACGCGTGTGAAATATGAGTTTGTGTTTGTCGCAGTCACGAAGTACGTATAATCTTTTGTCGCAATAAATAGTATGAGTAACTGGTGAAATTGCGATTTAAAAAAAATATTATATATTAGCGCGTACAGATATTTAGACGGTTCGTTATGAACTTTCAAAGAATAAAATTACAATGTAGGTTTATTAAACGCATTGTTATAAAGTTTCTGGTACAGATTTTAATTTGAGTTTTTATTTACTTAGGTATTTTTTTACGTCAGTTGTCAAGAATCAATTTTTTGGTCAACGAATTTTGTAAGATTTAGTTACAGTAAACGTAAGATTTAGAACAATGCAAAAATAAAATATCAGCTATAGGTTGGAGGTAAATTAATCGTTTAATTGTAAATGAACTGGTATAGATTTTAATTTATTATTATTTATTTAGGTATTTTTTTACGCTCATTGTCAGGAATCAATTTTTTGGTCATCATAGTCAGTCGACGGAAAATATGTGTAACAATGCGGAAATAAAATATCAGCTATAGGTTAGAGGTAAATTAATCGTTTAATTTTAAATGAACTGATGAGGACTTCAATTTATTTTAATTTACTTAGGTATTTTTTTATGCTTGTTGTCGAGAATCATTTTTTTGGTCATCGAATTCAATATACGTAAGATATAGAACAATACGAAAAGAAAATATCAGCTATTGGTTAGAGGTAAATCAACCATTTAATTTTCCAAATGCCTACTACAAAATGCAAATATGTGTTAACAAACGCTCGCATCGAATAGTAATAATAGTAATGATATAATAACATTGTCTATTATTATCAATAATTAACTCTCCTGAAGACATCTGTTTCAGAATAAATAATTTTTACATTGATAATAGTAGTGTAAATAAGAGAACTTACGTTAAATTATTTATATATTCAAAGCAATGCATAACATAACTTAACATAACATTTAAACATACATACACGTGTGTGAAAAGTATAGGTTGTGAAACCATAAAAAAACTGCTTAGATAGATACTAAATAATATATCAGAGATCACCAATTAGTATCTTTGGTGGGCTGCTTTAGAAGTTGGACTTTGGGAAATTGTCTTGGGACCCTCGTGCAATTTAACGTACGTGTTTGTCTAAAAAAAAGTAAAGGTAAAATCAAAAATCAAATGAAAACTAATGTAAACCATAAAAAAATAATAATGTAAAAACACATTTCGTGTCTGGGCCAGATAAAGTCAGCGAGCTATTTGACAACCCCTATTGTACGTTATAATTTAGTTTTAATTATTATTATTATTTTTTTTTTTTTTGGTATACCTGGTATTACTATTAAATCTGTCTAGATGAGTTTTGTTATATAATTTCGTTGATTTTGTTTGTTTCATTATTAATTCTGCACATTAAAGAGAATAAATGTTTGAAAAATAAGTTCTGTAAATAACTTTTTTGTGCGTGTTTATAGATAATATTATTCCACACTTATCAAAATTATAAAATTAAGTATTAGGTACTTAATGTAAGTACCAAATCGATATTTAATTGATGTTCGTGATCGCTAGCTGGTGGTGATATAATCTCCTCCCCACCTAAAAAAATTTTTTAAATAATATTTATATGTCCGCAATATCTGTGAAAAATCCAGCACACATCTCCCATCTGTATAACAATTATTTTTGGAAAAATTTTAATGTACGTGGTAATATAGGGGGGGGGGATGTATCAATATGTAAGAAGATTGATGAATTATGATAATTATTGAAGAATTATAGATAATAGATACCTGATATAATAACAGAATTCAATTCAGTAAGTGCCACTGCTATTGTTAAAGTACTGTGTAAAACTAACAATACCGTATAAATATTTTAATTTAGAGATGTGTGCATTTTAGAATTAAAATTAGAAAACCACTTGAGCTTTTGGGTGTACCTACACCTTTTTCCAATTCTATTGTTAAATAACACGCGCGAACTATGTACAGCCGAAAAATCGAACGATGCGCAACTGTCTTACAAAAAAAAGATCAAAATTAACAATAGCGATGCGCAAACGACAACCGAAGTGTACCTATTATTCTAATATTTTTATCTGGTATTATTCTTCAGCACTTATAAATGTGGAGAATCATACAGCCCTATAGGTTCTTAACTTTAACTTTTTAACTCGTTTATGCCCAGGCATAAGGTTTTTTTTATATTTATCTTATTTTTTGCGTTATTACAGTAGGTATCTATGTTAGAAAAAATGATTTTTACATCAAAATCAAAAAACTAGAAATATGACTACTAGATGATCTATAATAATATGTTTTGATGTGCATATTTTCGATATTTCCTATTTCTGAAGTACCTGATTGCATATTAATTTATATCCACGTCTAAAGCAATACAATTTGAACCCTAGTTATGTTTATTGTATTATTTAATTTCATAGCGTTATTTAATTTTCATTCAATTCGTATTAAGTTTCCAGTGTCTAGTCAGTATAGTTCCTAATATACGCACACATCTGTATTTAGCTGCAATTACGTGTAATAAGTTATATAAATTCAAAATAACGTGTGTGAGCCCCTGCCCCACAGGCCCCATACCACAATAAAGGAAAAATTCGAATTTTGTTTTGATATTTTTTTAACTTTATATTTTTGCATTTACTATAAATTAAAATTATTTTATTTTTTGATAAAAATAAAACAGAACTCAACTTTAAAAGTTGTAAAATATTTACAAATATAAATATTAGAGAATATCTTAATAATTAAAAAGTATAATGTGCATCGTCAGCTTTATATATGTACACATATTTATTCATTAGAAAAAAATTCGAATTCGAGATGAATGCCACCAGTTGTGCAATCCACAATTATTTACATACATTATGTTGAAACTAATCGAAAATGTTTTATAAATAAACAATTTCCGGCGGGTTCGTATTTCTGTACGAGTACATTAATATTTTCAATTCGTACTAGGTATATGTCTGTAATACGTAGTCTATGATGTCCCGCGAACGATTATTGACATATTTTCATTTTTACATACAATATAATATTATTATCTTATTAGGCCACCAATAATTAGTTTTGTTAATTTCGTATTTATCCGTGTAGCGGTCGGTCAGGTCTTTTATCATGATTAGATATCGGATATCAGCAAGTACATTCAAATATACACTCGGGATACGTAAAAATATGCGATTTTATGCACAAAATATAAATTAAAGAATATGCATTTCAGTAGGTAATCAAAAATAATGAAAACATTGTCGGCCCACAAACCACTTCAACGGATAATAATAACCATATCTACCAATGTAAAATAACATTTATTTCGTTTTTCTTCGATTTATACAAAATACAAATACCTATAGGTACTAAATGATTTATTATCATCAAACTGGTGTTGGTGGAAACACTCAAACACCAAACTTAAATCTATATTTTCGTATTCGTTAAACCTTATTTTTAAAGTTACAGCCATAACTATGGTAAAATTATTTCGTATAATATCAGTCTCCAAAAGTTCAAATGTTCTAATTATATCTTCATGTATTGATATATTTTGTGTCGGCCATATTCAATGTAAGTTCTTCTGATACTTTTCCTGCAACAATTAATTATTATTTTATATTTCAATAGTTTCAATTTAAGAAAAAATTTAGGCAACAAAATGTATAGGTCCGCCCAGAGGCGGAAGAGGGGGATTGATCCCAGAGCGTACAATTTTCGTGGGCGTATTTTTTTTTATGGGCCTATATTTAGTCTGTATTGTTTGGAGTTAAAAGTTAGAACACTTTTTTACTTTACATAATTTGAAGAAAAGAAAAAGAAACATATTCAATCATATAAGTACAACATTAAATAATAATCTTCATTTTTTTAATAATTACTACTCTACGTAACAAAAATTGTACAAATTACCATTATGATAAATCATATATACATATATAGGATTAATTTGTCTTTTGTTATTTACTTCGTATGACATAACTATGTCGTTTGCAACCTATAATAAATAACCTGTGATTGTACCAGATTCGTCATTTGGTTATCCAGACATCAGTCAAAGTTTCAAAAACATTAATATTTTGCATAGATTCACATAAATTTTTTAGGTTCTAAACGAAAGCGGGCATCTAATGACGCTGTTTTAGTTAAAATTTCTGATTCACGATAACTTTTATACGACGTATCAAATATCAATTAACGTATAGATAATTAGGTAGCTATTCAACTTTTTTTTCGTCTAAGCACTTATTTAATAAAACATTAAAAAATAAGTTTGTATTCATTAATTTTCAAATTGTATAGTCATAAACACAAGTAGGTAGTTTTATATTTTTTAATTCCAATTTTTTTCGGGAAACGTTCCTATTAAAATTAATTTATTATCATTGTACTCGTTTGCTAGCATAATCCACAAGCACTATAGATTTAATGTCAACTAATATTAATCATTTAAACACAAATATTTCCATGGGTCTCCTAATGGCTGATTTATATAATAAATAATACAATAATACAATAATGTAGTTACGTATTTATTTGTTTTACACTTGTTGCGCAATGGCGGCCATCACAAGCCATTTCTATATCATAACCATTAAATAAATTAAATGCTTATACATGTATGAATGTGTCCAATGTCCATAAATCACAATGGAGGAAGGCATAACATCGCAAACCGTTTCTATATCATACATTCGTTCTGACCATTGTCCATAAACCACTTCCTTCAAAATACATTAGCTATCGGTATATCACTGAGGGTTCAATAATTCTATTTTATCGACCGGGTATTGTGCTATTGTGCATATGTTTAAAGTCTACGCCTATATACATTTCTATAATATTTTCAATGTCACTTTACGGATTTATTACTTTCCGTACAGTTTTCTGAGTACACCTATTATCATCAAAGCATAATTACGGTGCTGGACTGAGCACTGCTGAGTAATGTCCACGAGAGCACGTGTAATCCATTACTGCGTCAATCAAATAACTAACTGAAGTGTGACAAATACGATAACATTTTATAAAACCATTACAATATACCTAAATCCTGAACATAAAACTCCTCACCAAATCGCTTCTTTTTACCATGAATATGTTTTCTGGTTGGATACAAGGTTTTTTGTTTCTGACCGATTTTTCGTAAGGTTTTCGTTGTTATGATAACTTATTAAAAACAACACAATCATTATTCAATACTGTCTACCATATGTTTATTTTATAAATTCATATACCTAATACAATTTTCAAAATATTTTGAGCTGTTACGGACATTTTCAAATTTCAATTTTTTCTCTTCTAAAATATCAATACAATTTTATTTGTTGGGACAAAAAGCTTAAAAATGTAATATAAGGCTCCTGATGATATATTGTTATAACCAGTTGAAAATTATTAAAAATATATTGGTACGACTTTGTTTCATAAACATTTATAATTTTGACAAAAATTATCAAAACTGAAAATGTACAAATTATTTTGTAGTTAAATATTTATAAAATTTTAAACATTTATAGCTAAGAATCAAAAATTTAAAACAAAGTTGCACACAAATAGTTTGCTATGTAACCAAAAAATCTAAAAAAGATATAAACATAGTTTTTTTTTTATAGATTTTTGATGTTCAAATTTGGACGAAATTGCATATTATTGAATAACCAAAAATAATGATTTTTAAAGTTATTTTTTTGTTATTTAAAAATATTATTTGTGGGTACCCTTGAAATCCCTACTTAAAACTTTTAGAATATATTATTATATTTTAAACACACAATGACTTTTCAAAATTTTTTTTTGTACGAAAATTAATTTTACCTACTGTAGTATTAATACTCGATAGTAAAATAAATTACTTCAATCAGAATAATATCATCAAATATATTAAATTTCTAAGTAATATAATAGGCTGACAGACCGTCTTTGCTCAGAATCGTGTTCCTAGTACAATGATTTTATATCATTGAATTCAAATTTATCACCATTTATTACAGTGACCCACTTGTAATCACTTGTATTGTACAGCAGAGCGACATCCACTTACCCGCTTTTTTTTCACAATTTGATTAAATAAATACAATAATGTTAAGAATAATATAACAACAGTCTTTAGTTTATCAGAGAAGTTTGGCTATAGAGGGCTTATATTTTAATAGTATTAACTTACTCTCTTCTAAGTTTTCATCTGAACCACCACTAGAGTGCCTCTCACTTTCTGTAATGCTCGTCAATATATTATGTAATCCTTTGGAATTGGGTGTAATTTCATCAAATAAATAATTTATTGTGCAATCTCTGTTATTGGAATATTACGGTTGTTTTCCATTTTTTTTAGACTAAAAATAAATATATAAAATGAATTAATGAGAGCCTTGAGTTTGAGTACCTCTATGATTTCCGATAATAACAAACTAACATAATCTTCATTATCAACTGTAAGTTATATACTAATGCTTACTTGCCCATTAAGCAGATAATCATAATATGATATTATGTCTGAAAAAAAATAATTTATTTTTATTTTAATTATTATATTTTATTTTTTTTGATTATACCTATTTTGTTCATATTCAGTAAATCCAATTTTCAGTGATAATACTAAAACTTTTGCAAAATCATTCCTTATGCCCTCGCTTTACATCAGTAGAAACATCCACATTGTATAGTGTTCAATACTGTCAGCCATTAAAATTCTTTCTTCTTCTGATAGTCTTTTTACAACAATGAATTCTTTTTTTATTATCGTCTCCAGTCAATAGAAGTCAAGGATCAAGAAGCCAACCACTTGATCCACTATGCTTATATCTATCAGCATCCTCCAGCAATTCATTTGGGTTCAAATCGCCACGTTCATTCACGATGTCCCCATGTACATTCATTATTTCAGTGTCGGTTATGGAGATATCACGGGGGGTTACTTCTTTACAAGTGTCTTCAACTAAAAATAAGAATATAGAGAACCATTAATTAATGAGACTTTCGAGTTTGAGTACCTATATGATTTCTCATAATAATAAACTAACATTATTCTCATAACAATTTGAATATTTTCTAGTTTGGCAATTTTAAATCCGTTTTTGAATGTTTTCTGCAAATATTTCTGGATTGAATAATGCATCCATTTTGATTTTCCACCATAAACAAAAAAAAACAATGATTTTATTTTATGTATGAACATCAATATTATATTCTAGACTACTGGTTAGGCTTAAATATAAGTATATCAAATAATCTATACAGGTATATTTGTCCATTACGAATTGTATTGATCTGATCTACCTAGTTACCATCTCTAAGGGGCAGCTTGTTATAAGAATACAAGAAGTGACGCTCCTGCCCCGAAAATCGGGAAACAAAATGTTTTAGGTTTAACAGGTTTATTTATAATTCATAACAGAAGATTGATCATTCAAGTAAAAAATAAGTGTATCTATCATAAATTTTAAAAGTTAATGAAAAATTAAACTAGAGAAGAACCTAAAAATATTACTTTTGTCTCAGTAAATGTGGTTGGTGGGTTGTTTATACACTTGCTCCTTGAGTTATGAAGACTGAAGCCCCGCCACTGCCATCTCTTACTTATTTTCTGTTTAAATCCTCTTTAAGACACCCCCATTTGTTCTCCACACATGGCTCAACCATTCCAATCTTTTATATTATCTTACATTAGTGATACTATTGAGTTTTCTATACAGATTAAACTGCAGTTTTTTATTTATTTATTTTATAAGTTTATCCGCACTGTTCGTACTTATTATGGTATCGCACTAATAACTGCAAGCGATGGACTGGGGGAAACTTAAGAGTAGGTCCCAAGTACAGAGGTTAGAGACCTATACTTCAGGGATTATAGGTTCAATGTTCAACCTCACTGTTCGTACTTATTTTGGTATCACACTAATAACTGCAAGCCATGGACTGGGGGAAACTTGCAGTAGGTGGGAAGTATAGAGGTTAGAGACCTATACTTCAGGGTTTATAGGTTCAGCGTTCAACCGCATTGTTCGTACTTATTTCAGTATCGCACCATAAGACTCACCTATGTTATGACTGGTATAGTCACGTTGATGCACAAGTTCAATCACTGTTTCCTTTCGTTTTGCTCCGGTACTTAGTACTCGCCTTTGAAAAGGTATATTTTCAGTTGAGTTCATTTTCATCTTAAGTAGGTTGTTTTCGTAACAATTCTTATTGATGAAATATTACAATAAAGAACCATGAGTTAATGAGGTGTTCAAGTTTGAGTACCCCTATGATTTCCCATAATAATATGCCAACATTATTTGCATGTCCACTACTTTGTAATCGTAGAGTCTTATTCTTGAACAAATTCTCGAAGTCTCAAATTCTCTTAAAACTTCACGTTGTCCATTTTAAATCTAAAACAAAACAAAAATGAACCGTTTTATTTTATGTATAACAATATTGAACATGTCATTGATATTTTCAAACTTTCATACATTTTTAAAGTATTAATTTTTCTTACTTAAAACGATAAAAAGTGTGATTTTTTTTACAGTTTTTATATTTTTTTAAATTTAATAATGACAGATTACTATTTCATTTCAATTAGTTAATTTCTATTTGTATTAGTTTTTTAACTCGTAATTTGAGGACTTACAAAATTAAATTGTCTTAAAAATAGAGGTACACTTTTTATTTTTTCACCACCAGTTTCTTTTTATTATTTAAACAAAACAAAACTTTGCTTTATTTGCTGACTATTTTGTTCAATACACTTATCTTGAAATCAATGGATGAACTAAAAATAATATCTTACAGTATTCATTAATATTTTGTAAGCGTTCATATTATGGTATAATTAATGGTTTATACAAAACCTGTGCTGTCTACCTGTCTAGATATTCAGGACAATTAAATAAAATAGTTGAAAAGTTTCATACTAAAAATAGTTGTAATCAATGGTTTACTGGTAGAATTTAAATGTTATAAATGCTATCCTAAAATCGACTTGGTACCAAAATTCGGTGGAATTTATAATCACCAAAGGGTGAAAAAAAAGCTGTAACTAGATATTTTTTATTGTGTGTGTGTTCACTTGAGATATACACTTACTTCCCATTAAAGAATAATACTGCAGTACAGAGCAGTTTTTGAAGCTTTTAATTTTAAAATGATTTTGGAATACACGACTTACTTTCCTACATTAGCAATTGACTAAATAATGTTTTTTTCTATGAATTTATAAGTAACTTGAATCTGATTGAGCATTGCGATAGGTATACATGCAAAATAATTTATGTTGTACCTACTTGGGTTACTCACTCACCAAAACACTGTTTTAAGATTGAAGAACATTGATTTGTTTTGAAACTAATAATTTATAAATAACTAGGTCTGAGATAATTTTGTTTTAACAAAAAATCTATTAAATGATCCACACAGCCCATACTTACCTATATACTATATAGGTAGTTTTTTACATTTTTTCTACACTTAATCTCCTAAAACCAACAGGTACACGTAGTCAAAGTATCGAAAAATGTTTTGGCACTTGTATCCATTACATAAATTAGTTACTAAATAGTAAATACAGACTATAGAATTGACCAAGATCCAATGTACCTACAACACTTTCTATACTTTTTGACTGTTTTTTCTATAGCACTTGGCATATATAGTTCAACATTCGCTATCAACACGAGCACATTTTGAACATACATCAAATCATATCATTCAGTATAGACTCAAAGGTGGACAATTTGATGAAAATGATTAACTCAAAATCAATAAGTTAGATGTTAACAGTAAACAAATCAGAAGTTTAACTTTTAAAAATTGATGTGGGAAAAAAATAAAAAATACTAAATTAAATCAGTTTGAAAAAGTTCATCTAACTTTTTTAAATTAGTGTGTGAATAATATAAAGAGTGACTATATTCTTTCTCTAGATTTTTCCTAAATTACTTTAAACAATTTTAATGAAATTTTATCATGATGTACATTTTTAAGATGACTATTAATGTTGAACTTTTAAAAATGTTTTAAATCAACTTCACCTAATTCAGTTAAAAATTATCATTATCTTGCCCAGGATTTGTAGTATGCACTTTATCCACTAAATATAGACAATATTAAACATAATGTAGAAATATAGGTAGTAAAATATAATATTTTTTCATTTTTGTTACCTATACAGTTTTTTTTTTTTTTTGTTATTAAAGGATTTTTATTCAATCTGTTACAATAAAATAGAACAATAAGAACAATTGATGAATTAAATAAAAATAAAATAGATAAAAAATAAATAACGACAGATTAGACTGAGTGTAGAGGCCTCCCAGCGGAGGTACTACGACATGAGTAGGACTAAATTAGGCTAGCAGGTCACGACACCACTGTCTTTTAAGTCTTTTAACTGGACTACCTGGGATAGAAGCAGATGAAAGATTGGAGATTAACGGATTATTATGATGGGCTAGGCGGCGATTGAAACGACCTATACAGTAATATGAAAAATATAAAAGATCAATTCATCAATCTATACTTATATATTGGCTGTCCAAACGATTTTAAATTGCTCCAAGATAATAGTTCATTATACTTACTAATGATATTAAAATTGTTAGTGTTTTTAGTTGCTGTTGGAAATTTATTATGGTTTAATGTCTCTAAATTAATTTTAAAAATTTTTAAAAATTCTAAATGGTGGGTTTTAGTTTCTAATGTATTAAAACAATACATTTTATAATTTAAACCTAATAATTAAAGACCGGATTTATATGCATTTTAAATTTTAAAATATGCAAGAAGAAGATGCAAAATAAAATTTCAATTTTAATTACATTTTATATTTGATTTTAATTTTGCAGTGAAATTATTTATAAATTTTATTAAAATTTTATTAAACAAAAAGTAAGATGTATAATACAACAAATATGTAATTAATATCATAATGTAATTTGTTAAATTATAATTTAATTTTTTATCATTGATAAGTACATTGTAAAAAATATTTTATTAAAATTAAATAGTAGATACATTGGTGATATACTGATATAAGTAGGAAAAAAGTAGGAAAAATTTAATGTAGTATGTTAATTGGAAAAATAATAACCTAACCTATTTTCCGAATATTCTTTAAGATGTAAAATATTTGATATTAATATTATATAAATGTACCTATAATCTATGTTCTTTTTTTGATAAACACTTTTTTAGATTGTTAGGTGTATGTTTGTAAGATTTTTTGTAAAAATATGAAAAAATATGAAAAAATATGCACTTTAAAATTTTGATATTTAATCAATCAAGTAATGATTAGTGGACACTCATTGACTGCATGTATATGATGTTGAAAATAGCAACATGCATTTTATGCTAAATCCGGTCTTTACTAATAATAATAGTATAAAACCATATTGTAATCCACATTTTTACATAATTATATTAGGTAACTATCATTGTAAAGTCATTATTGATTATGTTTGTATGCATTTTATATTTTTTAAATGTAAATAAAAAAAGTTAATTGTTTTAAATTAAAATATTATGATATAAACTATGTGATTAATGATCAGTATTTGTATTTTGTTTTAAGTGTTTTATGTACGTACATTGTAAATACTAGAATCTTGTTTCATGTAGAAATATGATTTTTTTGGTAAAACATATTACATTTTAAGAATTAGAATTTAATTAATGCTGTTGAATATTGTGCAATGTTATGAAGGTAGATATTTATAAATAAAAAATATTTAGGTACATATCTACACATATAATATATATATTTAGGATACATATAGGTATTATAATAAAATTTATACAAATAATATAACACTTTTAATCACTAATGTATATAATAATAAGTGTATATGATTTTTTCATTTATTTCCAACAAGCATATGGACCCTACTGAAAATGTTCGCCTACATGTGTATAGTACCTACCTATATTTGGAATGTACCAGTCTTGTAAAGTACTGGAATAAAAGTATTCAAATACTTTTAAATAGTACTTGAGCAAGGTATTTTAAATACTTATTAAAGTATCTGTATTTTAATCAAATACTTATTTGTTGAAGTTTATATAATATTTTCTATTATAGTTTTGATTTTAATTGTGTAAAAAAAAAAAATTCTGTAATTTATTTTTCAATGAGAATTATACTCAACCGAAAATTCTTTTACTCTGCCAAAAAAACGTGTATATTTTGATAATTACACCAAATAATATGTGGTGTAAAATGCTCTATAAAATGAACGTAAAACATGAAAATCAGGTTCTGTTGATTTATATTGTTAAAAAATGTATTTATAAAAAAAATTGAAAGTATTCTTAAATACTTATGTAAAGTATCAATTACTTTTTTTACTGAGCATTAAAATACGTATTTTGAATACTTTTCAAAATAAATACCTGTATCTGTACTTGAATACTTTAAAAAAGTAGCTTTGCCAAGACTGGAATGTACTATGCTGCTCTAATTAACTCAATATATATATATTATATACAATATACATATATATGAGTAAAATATAGTATAATTATCTACTACTGGATAAAATTAAATGGGAGTATGGACCTATAGTTGCTTGAAAGCATTATTATAATAGTTTAATGGAGAATATCAAAATGTTGAAAAATTTAAGAAAACGTTAAATGTTCAAAAAGTGTACATTACAAAATAAATACTGGTACCAACATTGTTAATGATTTATCTATACTTGTTATGCATTTTATGATTCACATCAACTAATTAAACAAGGCAAATCATGATATAACCCAAATTTAAAATTATCTACATATTTATATAAATTATAAATGTATTTGTACAATATGCATGTATGGAAAATACTTAAAACTATGATATAATGTTGTTAAAAAAATACTATGTTATATGCAAAGAAGTAAACATTACCTACTCTAGATACCTTACTATATTTTAATTCTCTGAAAATAAACTCAATAGTTTATAAAAGTTTTCTCAAAAGTGTTTTAAAAAAATGATTATATTTAATGAATGTACCCAATTATTGCTAGTACTTTAATACATTCGATCAATAAAATATAAACTTATATATATTATATGCATAGGTAGGTACCTAACATTGTTATAATCCTTATTATTAGTTTTAAAATATAAAAATCAACTATGTAAAATCATTTTATTCTAACATCCGTGCACTTTCTTATTTATCAATTTAAGACTAAATTTAATTGTTAAGTATATTATGTATATTATATAATAGATTATAAAAGTTAATAATTACAGAATGATCTATAACACAGTGAACATATTGTAACTAATGTTTATGTATCATTAAGATAAATCACCAACCAATGTTATTTATTAATGTTAATACAAATTTTATGTTAAATGATTAATGAATATACTATTTTGTTGCAATTAAAACAACCATCTTTATTATCTACGTACAAACAATTTTAAACTGAACTATAAATCATAAATAATTAATATAGAACAAGAGATAGACTATTACAAATATTTTTTTAGTTAAGCTGATATAAGCCTAAATAAATTGTCTATTCTATTTTATGATGTTTAAAAATAATAAATTATCAGTTGACTTAACCACTGAAATAGCTGCAGATATCAGATAAATTTTATTTCATTATTAATAACATTTTAAATTCAGAGCGGAGCAATAAATTTAACGATTTTATACACATTTTAAGCACTATATAGCTGTTGAAACCATAATACAATTCTCATAAATTGTTCTTAGATACATTTAAAAATCTTCAAAATACAAATGCATACATTTTTTACTAGCACTTTAACATGCAAGTTCAAATATTGATAAAATTAGATATTTTAGTTATTGTTGTAATTGAAAAAAAAATTTATGGTAGTAACTTAAATCTTTTTGATATCAAGTATATTTAGTATATTATATTATTTACTTGACACAATGCAAATTTCAAAATATTATGATAAATTTTAAGACTACATATAATATTGTAGTTAATAACAGTAATATTATATGAAATAATACAATAATAACACATTTACATAATATGCGATTTGTCTCAGAAAAAATTAGTTTAACCTACCATATTACCATTAATTATAAATACTACTAATAGCAATACAGAAACATAATAAATTAATAAAATATTCTTATAAATAAAGACTGACAGATCATCCCTGCTAAGAATAGTTTTTTTATTGAATAGGTACAATGATTTATCATAAAATTTAAATTATGTTTTCAAATATCGTGTCCTACTCAATAATGATGTAAATATGTCTACTATAAAACTGAGTAACTTCTTCACAAAAACATTCTTTTTTTTAAGTTTATTTGATGTTTTATTAATTTGGTAGATTGTAAAAATTATTATTATATATTAACTGGATATTCATCTTATTGGGATATTTATAAATTAAACTAGGTACTTAACATAAACGCATACAGTAGTTTTATAATTTTAAATCAAATAAAAACCATTTCTCATATGTTAATTTATTATTACAGTTGATTAAACCTGTGTAGTAAATATATTATATGGATACATGATAGTATTTGAGTATTGTAATAATTGAACATTAATTTACATAGGTACTCGTCACAGAATAGAATAATATTTATACTTATCATCAGTATATTTTGCTTATTATTTTATAAAGGAATTAGAATTAATTTAACCCTTCCACTGCTGAATAAAATCTCCAACAAACAAAAAATTAAGGAAAAACAGACATTTTTACAGAAAACCAATTTTCAACAAAATCGATTTTGGCTTTTGATGTAAATCTAAAAAAAATACAGTAGAGACATGAAATTTTCAATTGTTTATTATCACCTTTTTTATGCGTTTTCAAAATATTTTGACCAGTGTTGAACTACTTATAAGCAAACAAAGTTTTTGATTATCATTTGTTTGTTTTAAACTAAGTACTATTAATATAATTTTTTCACAGGAGTAAGACATGAAAATATAATACAAGGTTCCTAGTAAGTTGTTGTTGGAAATTAAAAAAAAAGTTGACTATAAGTCCACAATAATTTTTTTAAGTATTTAAATTTTGAATTTTGACAAAATTCTTAAAAATTACAAAAATTTGTAAATTACTTTGGGTTAGAAATATATAAAAAATTTTTAATATCTATGATTTTAAAATTGTATACATGATTTCTTGAAATTAAATAAATCAATAATAAACAATACATTTTTTTACCTACTTCAAAAAAAGAATTCTACTGGAAAGTCAAATTAAATTTTTATGAGCATTTGAAGTTGAAATTTGTAAAACATTGGATATTCACCCGATTTTTCAAGTAGCAATTTTCTTATCTTGTTGTAATTCCAAAACGAATAACTATAGATACTTGAAATTTACACCATATGCTTATTTAATTAATTCATACACTTAATAATATTTTTGACTCGTTTTGATCTTTTTATCAAATAGGTTATGTACAAATAATTTAAAATATTTATATAATGTTCAACTTTTATAGCTACAGATCAAAAATCTAAAAAATATTTAAACACAGTTTTTTTTATAGTTATTTCATTTTCAAAATTACACACTATTTAATAACCAAGAATAATGTTTTTAAGTTATTTTGTTGTAATTTAAAAATATTATTCATAGGTGCTTGAAACTTTTAGAGTATATTATTATATTTTATACACACAATGACTTTTCAAAATTAATTTTTTGGTCAAAAATGAATTTAACTTACTGAAGTACTAATGCTTGATAGTAAAATAAATATTATATTAATATTATAGGCTGACAGACTGTCTTCGCTCAGAATTGTTTCCCATGTACAATGATTTTATACCATTGAATTCAAATTCATTACTATCCATAACGGCGACCTACTTTTAAATCAATTTGTCCCTACCAAAATGAGACATTGAAGGTGCTTAACAATTAAGTCAATGGTATGTTAAGGTTTTTTAAATGATAACTGATAGTTAATAATATTTTTTATAAATTAATAAAGGTATACAGTTTTTATAATCATTTTAAATTAAATTCAATATTTAATTTTTCAAGAATTTGTAATTGAGACACCTAAGTGGCAACAACCACCATTCGCCATCCCAAATCCAGAAAATATTATTGTTTGCTTTCTATGCCTAAGGTTGAAGTAAAATATAGATACGCTTTTTTTTACAATATTCAGCTAATAAGTTAATTTATTATACAGTTATACATAGTAATATGATTTTAAAAAATGTCTTACTTGAGATAAAAAAATGTCCAATTTTGTAATAATTCACAAACATCAAATACTAAACATCGTCCATGAATTGAAGATTATTCCCATATAATTTGGTTAGCCGATACACTGTAAGGTAAATAAACAGATTAACATGTTATGCATTTTCTAGGTAACTTATTAGACATTCAAACATTGGACAAATTGATGTAAAATATTAACATTTTCATGATTCTATCAAAGTGTATGAATATTACATTTTAATCATTACAATTTTCATGTGTTTGTATTTCATTCTTCCCATTTTAATAGAGATATTTTGTCTTGAGGACCCCTTGCCAATATATATGCCACTAGAGAAATCAATCTCATTTTATTTCTAATATCACTGACCACAAAAATATATATACTAAAGTTTAAATTAAAATATTAAGCTAATTTATTGTACAGTCATACTGTTGCGATCAACAACTAAATGTATGATGTTAAGGTTAAGTTAACACAAAGTAAAGATTAAATAATAAAATATCATAGATAGTATGGAGTTGAAATAATAAAATATTTAAATAAAACAGTTTCAAATATTGTTAGGTTATATACTTTACTAATACCACTAATACCTACGGAAGAAATCATAAGAATTACAATGTTTTATTATACTAATACACTCATTTCATTCACAATGTAGATGTAATATATTATATTAAAAGTAACTCACTTATGATTCAAACTCCCATTTTCATAATAATTCAAACAGGATTAATAGGTACAATTATCTTTTGTGGAAAATCGGAATATTTGTAATTAATGTGTTGACTTTTCTGGAACACTGTGAATGTAAAATTACAGAGACACATGATGCTCTTTATTATTTTAGATTCTAATGTGGTATAAATCTTACTCATAATCACAATTATTGGAAAACTATATATCAATCACCGGGCCCGGTGTCAAGGAATCAATCTCATTTTATGTCAACCAAAAACTGATATAATTTATATAATTGTTTGTTTTTACAGTCACAACCTGTGAAGAAAAAAATTAAATTAAGATTATTTATGTTGTGTTCTATTGTAAATGATTCAGATAGTTGATTAGCCACAGAAAATAAATTGATGGAAAAAAATCTTACTTGAAATGTTGAGATCGAAATGGCGATAATATTATAAAATGTGTATCTATAATGAAATATAAATAATAATCGAAAAAGAAGTAAGCTATTTATTTTTTATTTAACCATGAACAATAAACATTTGAATATTCTAGAAAATACGAGGATTTTATACATTTATAACGTTCTTTATAATCGTGGCCATAGGCTTCGTTATCACCACGGATAGTATCTCTGTCCCTTATCAGTTATCACTTGGTTACACTCATTCACGGTAGATTATATATAGTACTAGTTGAATTACCCGGCTTCGCCCGTGTGTAGTTTTTGTTTTATCAAAATTAAATTCTTAAATCAACACAAATTGTTGTGTTTTAAAGAATTATAATACAACAAAAATAATAATAGTAGTAGTTACAAATGATACTAATGATTCTAATGATTCTATACACATATTGTTATTAAAAAATGTTTCTATAATTATATATAACTTTTTTTATGAATATTTACAAATGATACGTAGTTGCTTAATTTTAATATGGCTTAAGTCAAAACCTCTTGGTATACTACATTTAGAGTTTTATTTTGTGGTGCATAAACGTACAAATTTTTATAGAATTTTACTTCTCGGAACAATTTATATTTACATGCCGATCAAACACAAAGTTAGACGAACAAAAAGTTATGGTTGCATGTCGCTATGGAAACCCACAGGTCGCCAAACTGTAAAATATATATATAGATATACAATTTGCACGTTAACAATTTATTTTGACCGATTTCAACCCTTTAAAATCAAAATTTTGAAAATCGGGCGACTTGATGACACTCACGAAGGTATTTGGAACAACTTTGAGAAAAAAAAATTGGAAAAAAGTTAAATAGCGTCGTCACAAAATTGGTACATAAAAAAGGCCTGTTCTTTTATATATATAAAAGGATTATACTCTTTACTGTGGTCTAAATATTAATAAAATGATACTGCAGTCTGCAGCTCTTCAGCTACAAAATATTATGTACATACAGTCACGATAAACTATTTATCATGCCTACAGCCGTGTTGTGCTAGCACAGCGGTTCTCAAACTGTGTCCCGCAGAGCCCTGGGGCTCCGCGAGAGTAATCTCGGGACTCCCATATATCAGCTGTATCAATTAAATTCAAGTTATTAAATTATTATTATATTTCTTAGTTACATTTTTAATTTTTATACTTGTATTTGTTATTATTTGGACCGTACCAATATGTATTATTTTAAAGTTTAAAACTGTAAACTATTTATAAATATAAATCCACATATTTTTTTATAATCAACATCATTTTCTGTGAACTATTGTTGTCTCAAATAGACATTTCTGAATTTTGGGGGCTCCGTAATTTTTTTTTAGGAACATAAGAGCTCCGCGAACAAAAAAGTATGAGAACCGCTGTAGCTAGCAAATGCTCAATGAAAATTTTAGTTTCCGGTTGTTTTGGCCAGGAACGATCAATATTAAACCATGCGACTGGTCACCGAAATGGCCCTTCAATCGGCTACTCACCGACCGATTTGTGTATTTTGTGTGTACCAAATGTTTGTAGATGTGTAATGTGCATTGTGTATAGGCGTAGGTATAGCATTGCTCGAAGTAGACGAGAAAAAAAAATAATAACAAAAATTTTAAAATGTTGAGTGACAACAAAAACATATTTTGACATGAAATAATGAAAATCCTTATAACCAGAAGAATGCGAACAGCACTGAAAAATACAATCTGTCCAAGCCCCAAAGATGAAAAAAATAAAGAAAAATAATAAATCTGAACAATGTACCTAAACCTATATTTGTACATTGATCCAAACTTACAAATGTATGATTAAACTTAATTTCAATTTAAAACGTGTTAAATAAGTTAAGACATGTCATCTTATTTATTAATCAGGTAACAAAAATGTTTTATACTAGTTTTTCATACTGCAAAGCTTAAGCAAAATCTATTTATAAATGTAGATAGATACGTATTTTATACGAGATTTCACAATAATTATGATGTATATTTTTTAAACTTTTTTTGTTTTTTTTGTCTGTCATCACCATTCAGGGTAGTAAAAATGCTTATATTCTCTACTTCTAGCATCTTTCCTGGTAGAGAAGTGAAATAATTGATACTTTGGGGATTTTTAACAAAACTTCACAGTACTTTTCAAAATTGTCAGGAAAAACAAACAAAAAATCAAGGAAATACTGAGATGTTTACCCAAAACCAGTTTTTGGATTCTGTTTTTTTTTTGTGTACCTAACTCTAACAAAATAACATAATGTTTATATGACATTCTTAATCAATGTTTATATTGAGATGTTTTATACACCAAACATTTTCAAAATTTACTTTTAAATATTTATATTTGTAAAAAATGTATTTTCAAATATTTTAATAACAAATTATTGTGGCTTTAAGCTTCACTTCTTTTTAATTTTGTAAAGTGAGGAAGATTGCATAAAATATTCAAGTCTTAATTATTTAAGTTTTAAATTTTAAGAGATTTTAACTAGATATAAAATAATTTGCACATTTTTGTGATACCAAATTATTTAAAAATAAATTCGATAAAATATGTCAAGCTTTTTAATCGAGCCTAGAAATGTTTATTAAAACATATTTTAAATGCCTATATTATAACATTTATTTATTAAATAGTATACTGTAAGTCTACATTTTTTTTACATTCCATTAGTCATAAAAGAACTATAATTTAAGTAACATTGTAACAGTTCCATGTTTCAAATTACTACAATTATTACTCTTTGAAATAATAATAACAAAATAATTTTAGCCGTTTGATGAGAAATCCTTAATGTAGATACCTACTCATGAATCTCAATATCGTATAAAATTTTAACTTTAGGCGCTCATAAAAATATATATTAATTATGCGGAATTTATTATGCTCAAATTTGTTGATAACTTTTGTATAATCAAGGTTTATATACCTTGTTTATTAAATTTTTAAATGTTATAGATACAAATATTAAAAATGTTATACATTTTTATCACCAAATAATTTGCAAATTTTATATCAATTTTGAGATTCCAACTTCAAACGCTCTTTTGAAATTGTTGCATACTTCGCTCAACTCAGTGAAGATCTCTTAATTCTAGAATTAACAACTCACGAGGAATCTTGTATTACATTTTCAACCTTTTTGACTGAGTAGATATAATTTTTATCGTTATATTTAAAAAAAATACTATAAAATGTGTATTCCTCTTAGAATCTAAAATACTATACATTGTAATAGTCTTAAATTTAAGTTATTAACAAATAAAATATCAAACTTTGTATTACATTTTCAATATTTTTTCCCAAGAAAATAAAATGTTTTAATGACAGAAACAAAAATAATTGTTTTTATACTAACATCTTAAATCTCATACATTTTTCATTATTATATCGAGATACCTACATTGAAATTATTTGGTATCATCGTGTATATTGGATTTCTATCAATTTAATAAAAGCCGATTGCCTAGAAACCATTTTCTAGGAAACATAATATTTATAATATATAAATGTAGAAGTAGTACAAATTTAAATTCTTAAAATGACAAAAGATTATATTAAGAATATATTATTGCCAAATACTTTACCTATTTGTATCATTATATTAGTGAAAACTCACTTTATAAAATGAATAATTTAATATAATATAAATAATATTATGTTGGATTTTTAAATTGATTGCTTGAACGATTCCTAGGAAAAATATACATTATTATTTGGTCATTAAACCTCAAAATAACCCTTATATAGGTATATATAGTAAATAATAATACCTAAATTATACCTCATCGTCTTGTACTCGATTTTAATTTGAAAATAATCAACCAAAAAAAAGTTCATTACAGTGGTTAAATAGCAGTCAGAACTTGGAAGCTGTGTTGGTGTTTGGAAAGAACGAGTTCGTTATGTTCAAGTTTATGTTCATATTTATATGAAATTTTAATGAGCGAGTTTAAATGGAATCCTTATAAATAATTGTGAAACTGTGAACGTGAATGAAATTTATATTTTTAGAGAACTTGACAGGCATCAATAATCTACATGCAAATTAAAAATAAAAATGTTATTGATACTTTTTTATCATGTAATGATTTTCATTATTTGTAATATTTTATAGGTAGTGTACACTGTGAGGTGTCTCATTTCTACAGATAATATTTCATTTTTAAATAAATAATTGACTCAATAATGTGTTCTTTTGAAAAAAATAACGAATGTGACCTGGACGAATTCAGATTTTAAGTGAACTTTCCAAACACCGGTCATAAATACTCTTTACTTACAATAATATATTGGTCGTTTGCTAGGGTTAAATACTTTATTTTTACTTTCAGGCATTTCATTTTGATGTTTCGGAAATGATTTTGTCAATCATGATTTCAAATTTCAAAATTATCGTGTTACTATTATAATGTCGAAATGACAAATTATTCGCATGACGAATGGACAATTAATATTCGAAGTGTAACAAATAACAATGATTAAGATCTTGTTTTAAAATAATATTATATTATACAGAATAAATACAAATTGAAATTAATTTTTATTTGTATTGAAATACTTTTAAGAGCTAAAAAGTAATTTAGTATAATATTTTAAAATATTATTTTCAAAGTAATTTTTAAGATATTTTTTTAATCATAAGCCTCTATTATTTGTAAAAGCTGAAATTCACAGGTACTTTCAACTTCACACTCCAAAAATATACAATTTAGATGAGTAGAGATTTGAACAAGTTACATACTTCGTTAGACAAGGGGATTTATATCAACGGTAAATTTATTTTTTTGTTGATTTGATCCAACTGCCCAGTACCTATATAATACCTATATTTTTTTTTATACACTTTCTAAGATAGAAAATCTTTTGGTATCATTTATGCTATTAGTACAGCTATACAATTCGTTAACCTTAGAGATGAGAATATTTTTTAGTAATAATAATCTCGTCCATCGTGAGAATAATACATTCTCTCCGGCAATAATCTCCCCGAGAATTTATTCTTTAAAGTGAGGCGAATATTCTCACTTCTCAGTCTATATATTACGATTTAGATACATACAATAATATTGTACTTAGTACACGTGTCATCGTGGCTATCTATTGTAAAAATAGATAGAAATACCTATCAAATACGGCCAATTAGTAATTTTGTATACCAGACATTCGTACATTTTGTACATTTTATCTAAATAGCTGCAGCTCGACCGGACATCGTCTGCACACTCGAACAACAATAATATTATTGATAATAATCCACCTATTAATAATAATATACTTACCATTGGGTGTTTACGAGACGCCGAAAAAAAAATTTAATTTTCGTTCCGATTACCGATTAGACATTGCATATATAGACACCGCTGGTAGTTTTGTTCAATGTTTCCGAGACGAACGTCCACTCACCGCGCCGCTCCGGCCCACAAAAACACACAGGACCACCGGAATTCGGAAATCGTGTTCGATTTCGTTGGCAGACGGTTTCGCTAAATCGCGTCCAACAAATTGTTCCATTCGTCAGCCGACACATCAGGAAACGTTTCCGAAAACACCGATCACGCACACACGACGCATTATATTATTATGCACGCCGAGCCGGATGGTCATCATGCCTACGCGTTTTTACACACAATACTAAGTGAGTAACACATTGTAATAGTACACTAATGAATTATGCGTTATATATTATCCACATATTATTATATTGTTACAACGTTGTTTACAACGTTGTTATCGACGTAGAAATAATTATTGAACAATGAGAGCGATGACACTATTATTTATTATTTATATACGTGTTTGCCATTGCGTTAATTTCGGTTTAGACGGCTTAAAATAATATGTAATTAAGACGAGTGGAGAAAAAATAACGTGTTTATACCGTGTGGAAAAAGTTGTTGTGCAAATTCGACATCCGAAATGAGAAATATTTATTTTATTTTATTTTTAAGCCCTAACAACCGAATCCATCCTCAGTTTTTGTTATTTTTAAGGCGCTTTAGCAGACAATTTGGAATATTGGCATTATTTATTTTGTGACTTGGTGTGGCGTCGCGCTTCAGTCACAATTTTAATGTGCTCTGGCCGACAGCATCGACCGATGCCACTAGTTCCCGGCTGGGTGACCACCCGTGTTTTTAGAGGCAAATCCTTACCACACATACCTACACGTGTTCCAAACCAACCGTACCCTCCTCTATTGTTAAAAAATAAATTGTATTTTGTTATATTTTACATTAATGTAAGCGAACTAAAACCACTTCGAATTCTAAAATATTTCAAATGCACCTTAAAATTTCCCCGTTAAATCTATAAATTTATTTGACAGTCAAAATTGTTAACAGATGAAGATTTTTCAAGTTCCTACTACTAATGGTCTGATTTAAATTTTGTTAAAATATTTGTAATCACTGACCTTTTTTCTGGGTTGTATAGAAAAAATATTAAACATTTAAAACTTAATATACATATAGGTGTATAGAATTGAAAAAAAAAATTAAGGCTAATCAAAAAACATTTTTCCTACATAACCCAGAAGGGAAGCAAATAAATTCATACTTATTTATTTATTTATTTATTATACATGGAAAACAATAATCGGACATCGGGAAGTAGGTACATAAGCTAAGCGCTTTCGCTTATTGGTCTGTAAGGCCTCAAAAAATATAGATAGGATGTTCCAAGTTTCCAACATCTGTAGGCTGTATAAATTATTGTAGGTCAATTCACTAACACTAAAGTATTAAGTAACTGAAATTAAACTCGAAATGCTCAACGTAAAATTGTAAAATAATATTTAGTATACTCTAATATTAAAATATAACATGCTTAAAAAAACGCTGAAAACAAATGCAGCTTGTGACATCAATGCGTCATCGTAATTTATTATTAATACTCATAATAGTATACAATAATAGGTACAATCAACAGCTCTAATAATCTTTAAATGATGTATTTTTAATAAACTAAAATATTTAGGTAAATCAATCGAAAATTAAATTAATTGAAATTAGCAGCCTCGGTAACTTTCATTTAATAATTGTTTGTTATTTAGCATAATATGTACAAAAACCTGTGTTTGAATGGGATTAAAATGCACTTAGTAAAAAATTTAGTTCGGGTTCTTTCAAACGTGCTTTATGAATCATAGCTTCTTGCCCAATTCATAATTTCTAATATTTAGTAACGTATCAGTACCTAAATGATTTTGAAAAGTTTTAATGCGAAGGACACGACAATAATATCATACTATAATCATATATATATATATCACAGAATTATAACGGTAGGTACATGGAAGTGATGATACAAAAAATATATTGTTCGACCTCCGTGATATGACAAAGTTGTGAATTCTCAGCATTTACTTAGTAATAATTAGTATTATTTTCTTAAGTTTTTACTTAGAATCTACTTTGTTGTTAAGAGGACTCCCAACCCGCATGCGTTATAAAGGCGTTAAACATTTTTCTAAAGCTGACTTAAGGTCGCCACACACTGCAGCGGTAGTGGTAGCGTTAAAACGAGTCTGGACACAATTTACAGGCACTGCCAAGACAAAAAAATCTTGCCGCCACCGGTGCAGTGTCTTTAAGCTAATTTCCGCAATCAAATCGATAAAAATATACGAAATTCTAGAATGACGGTGATCTAAACGATTCACCATGCCAGACACCATAGGCGTGCGCAGACTCCGGTTTCAGGGGCACCAGAGATTAATTCGGTCCATTCTTCAAATTCACCATTAAACCCAGCCCGTAGTTTTACTACTTTTGCTATTGGGTATCAAAATTAATTTGTATTGATTTTATTTTGTTTATTTGGATAAACAGTTGTACAGTTTTTATAGTAGACAGCTAGGTTTATTAGTTTTATACTGATAAATTCTATAAATTATAATCATAAAATATTCATATCTATACTTGACCAAAAAAAAAAAAAAAAAATCATTTGTGGAAATATAATTTTACCGAGGCCCATTATTTAATATTTGCGGGCCCCGGTAGCCCCAAATAAAGTCCAGGGGCAGCATATGCTGCCTCTGCTGCCCCCGTGCGCACGCCTATGCAAGACACCTTAGGCCGTTCAAAGCCGTGCGAAACGCGTGACCAGATTATTGCAGTGGGAATGCAGTGCGCCGCATGCAGTTGGTCGTGGCAGTATTTTCCACTGCATTAATCAATGCGCCTGGCACAAAATAAATGCATAGGTACCTGTTTGAAATTTAAACATGATATTTAGAAATATTTGTGTAAATAATGAAGGTATGGATGGTGAATAATATTACATTTAGGCATGGGTAATGATTTAACTTTTTGCAACAACATCTATTATTAGCGAGTATATGAAATTGTATTACAACAAACTGTTGATCAAGAATTATTGTTATTATTATTATTATCATAGGTTTAAAATGTATTATTACATTCAAACAACAATAAAAGCATTCCGTAAATTGAACAATTAAACGTGAAAATTATTATAAATATTTCTGAATAAGTATATTAGATATTAAAATATTTACCTCAAAATAACTGCTGATTCTTCATCAGGTGTGGTTTTTTTCGCTCGATCAGAATTCCTACTTAATACGTAAAATGTTACAGTTTAAAAATTAAAATATCGTAAAATAACAGAGAACAAACATAGATTGATAATATTCTAATATAATAGGTCAATTCGCTCTAATAATAAAGCTAACAACATAAAATTAGTTCTCCCAAACGCCAAATGTTGCACACTTATAACTTATAAGACATTAAGTAAATAATAATTAGTATTTTTTACGAGTACATTACCACTTGAAAATTTGATTAAAAATGCACTTAACAAAAAGATAAGCCTATAAGTATGCTCTATATGCAGTTGCGCCGAAGTCCACGTTAACGTCATTTTATTTACATCATAACTTTATTATGAGAGTGAATATATTTAAGCCATGTTTATGAGTACCTAAATGTATATTAGGCAATAGGCTATCTTTATATAAAATAGGTATGGAGGTTTATTCAAGGTATTGAGGCCGTGAAGTTTTGAAATTGGCCGACCACATTTTTAAAACTTCGGCACCACTTATTCTATGGATTTGGCTCTGAGTAATATTGAATAAAATGGTAAGTAAAATTTGCCATGTTAAGCACTTTTAAAACAGTGACAACAAATGCCAGTGAAGCGGCCTCTTAATTTCGAAACAAGTTATAGCATTTTGAAATTTACAAAAAAAATATGATCAAATAAAATCAATTTTCGGAATCTAAAATTTTCCCATTTTATTGATAGTAAAACCTAGACAACACATACAGGTTTCACGTCCACTTAAGGCTACTACCCTATAACATGTGTTATGTTCGTCCTAAAAACATATAACTCTTGACGCCTGAGAAATATATTTTGAACTATCAAAAAACCTCAAAAATAATTTTTTTATTCACTTGTGATGTTTGTCTTAGTATACGCTGTAGTTATGTATCCAGTCGGTTGTCATGATCATAGATTGAGTATTAAAATTAACTATGACATCATTATTTCAAATTGAATATTATTTTTATTCGAAAAAGCATTAAGTATTTAAAAATCTATTTCTGTTAACCGATGGCCAGAAATATTCAAACATAAATAAAACCATCGCTTAAATATACAATAACACATCATTAGGTATATTTGAACCGCAAATAAAACCTAGGTATTTTAGTTTCACTATTATTGATATTAAATATAAGTTTTCGTAGAACCAATTCAAATAAAAAATTTAATGACATGTACATGATATGAGATTTCGCAAAAACTGATGAAAAATACAAATTAATTTTTTTCACAGAAATATCAAAATGTATCCCAAAAAAATGTGCTGATTTTTAAACTAGTAACTATTAATTGAACTGTATTAGACTCTCACGGATTACAGGCGTCTTGTTGTAAATTGTATGTTATTAAATATTATACTACATTGGTAAAAAAATAACATTCTATAACCTGCAGAACATCTAATAAACTATAAACCTACATTTTTCTACCAAAAGGAGGCGGTACACATAATATACATATTTTAATGTCAATTATTTCGGTATTAACAAAAAAATAGAATTTAACAATATTATTTTCAATTAAATGTATTTATTGTTACTTTAAACACAATCGCTTCAATACACGTGTCAAATACAATTTACAAATTTCTTTTTAAATACAAGCACATAATATTATACATTTTTTAACTTAGAACAATGGTATTGTTTTAAACTACAAATTTATAAGTAACTCAAATTTGCCGAGCATAGTAGTGTGTGTGTGTGTGTGTATTTCTAAATTAGGTGTAAGTTTGTATATTATGCTTTTCGCGAGTCACACTTTTTAAAACTAACCAGTCACAGGTATATAACAATATTATAAAATAGACAATCTTAACATAAAAACAATATTTATTACAATACATTTGATATTTATAAGTACAATGTATATTATTATTTAAATTACAGGTGCGGTTTTGCTTATCATTTTCAAGTCTGGTATATGGTTATACCGAAGTCTTCAGGACTCTAACTGGTTAAACTGAAAAATTTGGCGGGCCTAAACGTGCGTTTTGAAAAACGGGACTGTCAATATTGCAAACATTTCGTGGTGATGTATGTATGGCGGGGGATTTTTTTTTAGTTTCTATTATTTTTTTGAGACGATCAGTGGTTTTTTAACGTTTCCAATTTTTACCTTTTCGCAGCGTTAAACATTACTGTTCGTACTTATTAAAGTATCACACGGATGGGAGGAGGTTCCGTGGACTGGCGTAAAAATCAAACGCTACAACAACCAACCAACAGATACACGTAGTCGAAGCATCGAGAAAGAAAACTCAATCGGCCATGTACGTATGACTATCAGAATCTTCAACTAACAATAAGCGATGTAATAATAATAACTATAAGACTAAATAAAAAAAGACATTTAGCGTTTTTACAAAGTATAAAATAAAAAATAAAAAATAGAAGAGAACACTTATTTTACAAACGAATAATAATAGTAAATCAATTTTAATCCGACTGTTGTAGGGAAAATACAAATAATATGTTACGTAGTAGTTACCTGCGTATTATGTGACGACACGTTTTACCCGTAAAATCTGTAGACGTTAAGTCTACAAGAATTATCAAATTGTTAACAATCCATCACCTTTGGACTAAATGCGTCAACTATAACGAAAGTGAAATGAATAAACAATAAATTGGGAATGGGGGAAAAAAAAAATATACGCTACTGATTAAATTACTAATTGTACAAACATTTCACAAAATTTCACACTCTCAAACAATTTAATTACAAAGTACACCTTTTTTTTATATACATATATACAGCGGGACACACCTACGTGACGAACGTTCAAAATATGAAAATTCCTCGCAAGTCTTCCCATTTGCGCGAATCACTACTTATGCATGTAGTATTCATTTACTGTGCAGTTGTACAATGGTGATCTGGTGAACCAATTTCACCAATTCATTGGTTGATGGCCTGCGACCAGGAATGGATGTCGGCGGCGTTCAGCTGGAAGTCGTTGAACGCGGCCACGGCTGTGTGGTCGTCGTCGTTATTGTTGTTGTTGTTGTTGTTGTTGTTGTTGTTGTTGTTATTAGTCTCTGTGCCGGCGCCACCGCCACAGTAAGCGTCCATGTAAAAATTGTTGTTGGTCAACAGCAGTTTGGTGGGATCGAGGACCGTGTAGTCGACGACGTGCTGCGAAGCGGAGACGTCGGCCGGCATCGTCCCGTCGGCGCCGATAAAGTCCATGGACGCGTCGTTCTGCATGACGGCCGCCGCCGCCGCCGCGTTGCCCTTGAGGCACGCCGCGTCCGCCGACGACGAACAGGACGACAGCTGTGCGTAGTAATCTACGTCGTCCTGCACCGACATCGGGTACATCAAATCCAACGACTCCTGGCCATCCTCGGTCTTGATGGTGGCGTACTGCAGCTGCTGCACGGGGTGGTGATAGCCGACGGCGTCGCAACTCTGCTGCATCTGGAAGCACTGTTGCTGCTGCTGCTGCTGGTGATCGTGTTGTTGGTGCACCGTGGCCGGGTGATGGTAGTCGACGGGCTGGTAGTGTTGCCAACCGACGGCGGCGTTGTCGCCGCTGCACTGCCCCGGGCTCCTGTGAATGGTACCGCTGCCCAAGTCCAACACGGTCGTCGGCGAACACTTGTGGTAAGCCGAAGAAGCGGTGGCCGCGTCCTGCCCTGGCGGCCGCTGCAGTTGAAACAAGTCGTCGTCATCGGTGGCGGTGGTCGGCTGCTGCTGCATCGGCTGACAGTAGACGGCCGACGCCGGTTGCGGCCCGGTCACGAATCCGAAGTCAGCAGCGGGCATGTTTTGAACGATCGCCAACGACGGAGGAGGTTCTGACTGGAGCTGTTGTAGAACGTGGTAGTTTTGTAGCCCAGTCGCCGTCGCCCAGTCTTGATGGTGGTGATGATGATCGTCTTCACTGCTGCTACTACTGCTGCTGTTATTGTTGTTGTTGTTGTTGTTGTTGTTGTTGTGGTGGTGATGACGATGATGGTGGTGATGGTGGTGGTGTTGGGCTGGGTAGGAGGTTTGCTGATGCTGGAGGATGGCGGTCGCGGGTTCTGGCCCGGGTGCAGTCAGGCGGCTGTTGTTGCAAACGCAATAGTACGGAAGACACGAGCAGCCGGAGTCTATAAAGTAATTAAATAAACAAATTGTTAATCACTATATCGTTAATTTATTATTATCAATTATTATAGGTGTTTATAAAAAACATGTGATGGATCAAATTATTATATACATATCGGGAAATTGCAGGGATCAAATCCGCCCTTCCCCGCTTACTGTGCCCGGTCTATTGTTCAAAATTATCTCGATTTCTTTCTTTAAATAAAAGTTTACTAACACTACTTAAAAAACGACTTCTAATTTCTTCACTGAAAAAAAGTGAATGAGGAACTTCGTACTAAAAATTTCGTACAATTTTTTTTACTCACAAACAAAAATTTTATCATATATAAATCGAAGAAAAACTAAAAAAGGGTCGTACATTTTAAATGTATATAATTAGCACAAAAAGAGTCAAAATATTTTTGAAAATTAAATATGCATATTGTGTAAACAAATCTAATTAAAATTTATATTGAAAAATTGGTCTACAGATTTATTTATTCGTTTTTTAATAGGTAACAAAATAATAATAATAATAATAATAATAATCTGTTTTTCAGTAGGAATTCTCGTTTTTCCCCAATTATTTTTTGAAAGTTCTATTAGGAAGTAAAATGTTTATCTTATCGAGTCAAAATAATTATGTTTGGTACTATGATATCCAAAAACTGGAATTTCAGTATAAACACACAAATAGGTAGTTTCTTTTACTCTAACTATTATAACTTTATAAAGTTAAAAGTTATTTAATAAAGGTATGACACAAATGTATGCTAGTAAATTTGATCGTTTAAAACTCTGTTAACCCTAATTTTGTTATTATTTCATATTTTTTATTAGTCGACAATGTAAAACAATGTGTTAATTAATCGTGTATTACCAATGACAACAAATAATTATCACCACTGGTTATCTTGCAGTATTCTCATACAAATCGATGTGTTGTACGACTTTTTTTTAGTTGGCGGTTCGAGCGCGACAAGCGCAAAAATGATGCTATATCTCGATTCGTATGAGAATTTTGCAAAAAATACGACTAGTGTTTATTTTTACATTCAAGATAATATTCTAAAAATAACTTTAAAAAACCCAGATTTTGAAGTTAGAAAAAAAATTCCAAAAAAATCTTCATTGTGGCATCACAGTGAGTATGCGTATACTAATTACCTCACATACTTCAGAAACACCCTGTATATATATATAATATTTTGATAAAAATGTTGGAATTCATCATTGATTAATGATATCGATTAAGTCAATACTGTCCGAGTCGTTTCTAAACATACTTGACGAATAAAAATAAATTAATAGTATTAAGTCAACATAATGTTTTATTTTGAGTCTTAAATTGTGTAAAATATCCCACTGCATCACGTATAAAAATATTTAAGTGGCTTGGTGAGGGGCGGTCGTATATGCTCAATCTGCCAATCTGAGTGTACGCACCGGCCGACGTTGCTAGCTCCCGGATGGGTGACCACTGACCACCCTGGTTTTTTAACAACAAATCCTTGCCACACAAACACAAACACGTGTTAAGATTCTATCAACATAAAAACCTACTAAACCTATACAAAAAAACCCCTACCACACTAACCTATCCCTTGATACAAAAAAAAAAATATTACAAATACTATCATCGTCTTACTTATACTTCGGTTCTCAGAAATCAGCTCTTGAGTTAGTTGTGTACTTAAATACTGTTTGCGATTTCCATGACTAATGGCTTTCTGTTTTTGATTTTTTAAATTTAATACCTGAAAAAAAAATGTTAATTAATTTCATTGATAGAAGGTGATTGTTTAAATTATCAGACTTGACAAAATTAAATTAATATCAACATTTTTTATTAAATAAATTGTACATTATAATATTATCGTTATATGTATATACACACCCTTAGATTATATGTTACTATTAATTATTATATCATAATATTATGTTGTATTATGTCAGCGTACTTTCGTTTGTGTAGTAGGTAATTAAACTAATAATTTGTATCATACCGAACGGGAAAAATATCTTTATTTAAGTACCTAATTCAAATGTTAGTCATAGTTTGAACACTACATCTCATCCATGTAAATATGACTTGTAGTAATTTAATTTTTAACAATATACATTTTCAATAATAATTATTACTGTATTTAAATATGAAAATTAAAGTTATACCTGAATTGTACACTTTATTTAAATTAAATATGTTTATATTAAGTTGTTAAATATCAAATTTAAGGATTAAATTTTGTATTTTGTTTCGAAAATACTTAAAATATTATTACGAAACGTAAATATCCATGCGTAATCGCCTACCAAATAAAAATAACCATATTTCCGCAAAAACGAATTATGTTGTTTGCTAATAAAAATGGTGTACAATTATGTTCGTGTAGCTTCTTAATTCTTGGTTCTAAATTTTTACTCGTGTAAACTAATGGGTGAAGTTTTAAAAAAAATCAAATGGTAGGTATAGAATAATTATTATCGTTTTTATATAAATGATGACAACATTATCGTATTAAAAACATATTATTATATAATATAACAAATTACATCGTGTTGTTGTTTAATATTTGAGTAACCAACGTCTTGGTATACAGTATAAAATAAAAATATTATTTCCAAAAAGTTTTTGGTTTTGGGTTTAAATGTTTAGGATTTTTGACATCGGATTGATATTTTGTCCGTACTGATGTCGTCGGCAATACGTCTCCTCCTCCTGCCACATCAACCAACTCCATTTCTTTAGGGGGGCATTTGGATGGAAATGTAGGCCTTTTCAGTGGTTTTTTTTTTATTAGTTTTTTTTCAATAACGCTCTTCTCGTACGACTTGTGTTCCTCGTGCCAAATTTTTCCGTACGACATCGTCATGAGAGAGTAAATGTCGGGTTTAGGTTCAGTTTTTATGTACGAAGGAACAAACTGTTTAACATCCACAAACTTTGAGGAAACAATTTGATCTTTTAAAACAGCCTTCTTGGATGGTACAAATGGTTTTTTATTTTTATTCGACGAACAACCAGAGTTCAAAGACTTCAAAGACTTCAAAGACTTCAAGGACGTGTAACTTGGATCGGCAGACATAATATTATTATCAGATTGTTACGTTCTATTCGAAATTAATATATTCTTTTCATAGTTTAATTTAACACAACACTATTAACTAATAAGAAAAATATTAGACGTAAAAAGTTTAAAACTGACCGAGGACTAATAATTAATTATTTGCGTATCCATTTAATATAAAATATTATATAGGTACCGTCTAAATACGTACATACTTTTTTAGTCAATAAACAACAAATAGCCAGATGTACTTAAACCATTATCATCTGTAAATCATAATTAAAACCGCGAGAGGAAAATAAAATAAATTGTTAACTAAAATGTACAGTAATCCTTAAATGTTTAATCCGACGTACGCCATCTCAACAGCATTCAACATAATATTAAAATTATGTTGCTCCTCGCACACAATCACATTTATAGGTAGGTATTGTATATTAAAATATTATCATTCTTATTAGTATTATTATAATATAAAACTAGTGATTAAAAGTCGAATTTGTGAATTCCATCTAACGTTTTTTGCCTCGGGTTTGTTTGTATAAGAATGTACAATCAACAGAGAAATCGAGTTTTAGTATTTATGATTTGACCTACAATATGTTGTCAAAATCCATTCACGTTGTTGTCCGTACCATTCATATTCATATAATATATTTTATGATTCATGGGCAACAGACTAGGCGTTCTTTTTTTTTTTTTGTATGTGTGCCAGTGTTTATTATCTATGAAAACCTACAATTAAAGGTTTTTTTTTTTAAGACAATACCAAACGGATTTAATTATTATAATTCGTATACATCGTACGGGCAGGGCTGACCAAAGTACAACACAGTACGCAATAATTTATGTTTGTTTTTTTTTCTGTAAAAGGTGTACATCTCACTCGTATCTCGTTGCTCTAAATTATCGAGTGCACGTATAAAATATATAATATATTTATACTACTAATTTCGTCTTACGGTCTGAAGCGTTTGTGAATTTACCAGTTTTCGAGTCCTGACGACATCAAAGATAAGTCGATCGGGTACGTTTAGATTATTATAACAATAATAATCGTCGCGTTCTTGGCACAATTTGCAGGTACCGCTGCCGTTATGAACACGATATCTAGAGCGCGTTCGAGTTGAATATAAATTTTAAGAAACGACACGGTTATTTAAAACGAAATATAAATAAAAGAATTTTTTATTCCTAGCGAAAAAAGACCACCGAAAATCACTGTAACAAGTAACAACAATATTTTAACGGCGCGCGTACTTCCTATCGTATTCGGACAATTATAAGTAAGATAATAAAAATTATTGCAATTAATATAATTCTATTAAATCAATTTCAACGCAGATTATTTTTATTCTAGTCAGTTGGTCGTATTTAGTAATATCTATTTATAGGTTATACAAATGTATAAATTATAAATAAATAGGTGATAATAATTATTGTTTATTGGCCCCGCGGGTCGCCAATTAGGTACTGCTGCTCGGTCGCCGGCCACGTCAAGTCGTGTCGCGGTCTGTACGGCCAGCGAGGGGTGGCCGTCCGCGATCAACACCCACCCCCCTCTCGCGTGGGTCGCTTTAATAATAATAATAATAATAAATTAATAATATCGGCGTCGGCGTGACGACAACAATAATGTCACAAGCAATCAGTATTATAATATAGTTTAAAAATTCGAAAATTTATACATCGAACGGCAGTGGCGGCGGGCCGCGTTTTCGCGATAATCGCGTTACCGCACACGCGACGCGATGGAGGGCGAAATTAGCGCGTCTCTTTGCTCAAGACGGCGCGCCGCGCTCATAAGCCCATTTGTTTGAACACCGTTCGCGGTAGGTACACTGCACGTTTACACACGAGTACACGACATATTATTATCATCCGTATAAAATATAAACGTACGTTCCGCTACCCTTTTGATGCCGTTTACATGCGCGCGCGCGCGCACTCGAAATAAATATCGCGTTATTTAGGCCGAACACTCGGCGACGCTCGTGTTTAATAATAAACACAATATTACAACCAGGTATTATTACGGGCGGCGGCCTCTCGGAAATACGATTATTCCGGTTCGACGTACACGACGACAACAACAACAACAATAATAATAATAATAATAATAATTATGTAACCGATGACAATATCACGTCAGTGTCGTATATTATGCGCGATAAGTCTCGAGCGGTAAAAACCTGGGCTGTTTTCAAAATACCGGTTAAACACGGCGTATTCTCTGTGATCGGCTGAATCCCTCCCAAGTTGGTATAGTAATCTGGTAAGCGGTATATTATACCCATCATACCAGAGAACAGTCGTGAGTCGTATCCAATCATCCCACTCGATGCGTACGTTATAGCCGCAGTTGCCATTCAGTATTATTTTAGTACATCGATAAAAACCACATGTAAGACTGAGCCTTACACGTCTGGTAGATGTGAAACACCGAAATTATTTTGTATAGAAAATATGCATGCAAATTGAAAGGACGGTTTATTAGAGGAAGTAAAAATAACGCAATAAAAGACAAGACATTCAATTTTTTTAAGAAAATTATTCTTTATTATTCTAAAGGAGCATTAGGTGTTTCCACTCCAACCACCGAAATTAATGTTCCACATCAAGTCACTAAAAATGTAATTTTTCCGGAAATCACGGAGCTGTCGGAAGTTCGCCTCGGTAAAGGCACTACGGCGGTATAATGCAGCCGGGCACGATTTACCGCTGTACCACCACTGCGATATCATTACTACGATGCAATATTTTAATCATGAATGTCCCTACACGTTGCAGCGATAACGGCAAAATGAAGCCGGACACAACCCAACCGACGACACCGCCCAGAAAAAAGAATTTTACCGCCAGTAACGTGTGACGACCGGCAACGACATGCCTGCCACAATATTATGGTGAATAGTGATGTCTAATATTCTTTTCCGGTATATCGGGTGAACTTTTAATTTTTAATTAGTTAAGCGTATAAAATATATACTATATTAATTCTATTCTTAAATATTTTAATCATTTCATTAAGCAACAATAAATTATAATTAAAATAATATACCCATTACAATAAAGCTATTATTAATTTTTAATAATCTTTTGATTTCAATATCGCAACCACAAAATGCAAAAAGAATAAAACAATGAAAATAAACAAGTAATAGGTAGTCAATATTATTAATGACTGAAGCTCCCCCCGCCCCCTCTCGAATATTATTCACATTTTCGCCACGGGTATATAGGTACAATAAACATGAATCTAGAATCTAGATCATATATTTCGGGCGCAAAACCAAAGAATCTATTTTTATGACTAATATAATTTAGTGGTTTAGGAGGGAAACGTCAAAAAAGTCGAAATCGTGACGTTATTTCACCACCGCGAAATTATATTGACCCACAGCATCGTTATAACTTCGTTACCATAATATTATAATATCGGTGGAAACAACGTAAACAAATATGTTTTGTTGTACTATATGTCTTACACACCTATTTGAAAAGGGAAAAGAACTCAACTTAGTGTTTATAACATTAACCGTGACATAATAATTTAGACGCTCTCGGTTCGACGGTCACATTCAATAAATATTAATATCCGCCGTACAATCGGTTTCGATCCGAGACGATGGTATCGGAGACTCATCGGAAACGTATCGTTTAGAAAACCTATTTATCTATAAGAGGGTACATAGAATAATTTATTATTTAAATGCACTTCAAAACGCATCCTTGGAACGCACAAACACAATTATTATTCAACAGTACGGGACAACGTCATTTTTCAACCCCCTCGCTCCCCTCTAGCGCACAACGAATGCAACTGCATCACGTATCCGCCGCCGATATCCGATCCACTAGAATATAGTTATTATATTTTCGAAAAGATCAACCAAAGTGAATAAATTATTATTATCATAATAAATCTGAACTGCAAGATCGCCGTGCGGAGCCGTTCGTTTTAAATTTTAAATATTTTTCTTATACCATTTTGGAATCAAAATTAAAACGTTTAAGTGGCTAACTATGTCACCTACATACAATATAATGAACAAAAATCATTGCTCGAAAACGGAAAGCGTTCCTCAGTCATGGTAATGCAAACGATTCGATGGCTCCCTACGCACAGTCGCCCAACAATATTATTATTTTCAACTTTGTATTTATACTCTTTTACCAACCTGCGCTATTTCGTTTATTAAGTACAGAGTATCGTCTCAATAACCATAGCAAACGTAGAAAATCACTATAAATATAACCCCCCTCACCACAGTACTTTAAAACCACCAGCACACCGTAGACGTATCTGCGCTAGTGCGTGCTAGAGAAACGCACACGTTGTTGGCGCGCAAAGTCTTATTATTATTATTACTATTACGTACAAAACAATAATATAATTTGCCACCGATCGGATGGAACTCTCCTCAGCCGGTGATCAAAATTCTATTTATTATTAACATTTAAAACGATTGCGCATAGGACAAATGTACGTACACAACAATAATAATAATTAGCCGGCCGACAACATGATTAGACCCCCTTCGGGCGGACTGCCGACAATTATCATCCAAAGTTATAACTTATAAATATTAATAATACGATATTATTATATTATTGTGTACAACATTTTATTTGCGTTACGACAATATTCTCTATGCCGTATAAATACCACACAGACACAGACACACACGCACACGCACACACACACACAATTAACATTATTATTGCCTTTCTGCATACAAGTCGGCCACTCCGCACCGCCACCAATGTGCGCGAACGACTTGGGTTTTTGCCGAAATGATTTATACGGCACCCACAATTGTATTAACATACCTACGACGCGTGCGTTCGCCCTATAATTATTACACACAACAATAATAATATATTATTCTATCACTGCAGCAGCAGTCGTTTAGCGTCTCCGCGAAAGGTCGACGAGCGATAGTAAATTTAGTACAAAACCCGTTCGTTCGCAGGATTTCCCTCTGAAATCCATCCCATTACGTATACACACGAACCGCACGACGAGCAGAGCATTATCTGACTTGTAACCACCTACGATGGTCGGAGAGAATAGTTTTCGGGCGAGCGCCAGCGGACCAGGAAGACGACGACGCGATGTCTATTGTACACCGTCAGTTTAGTATACAATATAATATTATGTCACGTGTGGTGTTGTATACAGAGCGGTTGATTTAACACGAACAAGACATCTCGGAAAATATTACATGATTGTTTGGTTTAAATAATAACACATTTACCATGGCATTCTACAATACTTTTGATCAAAAATTACAATTTTAACGTTATAAATTGTAATATAACACATATATCACATAGAGAATGTGACATTATACTAGAAGTTTCCGAAATATATTAAAAACGACGAAAACGTCCACGATATTGACCGGTTCTGGAGAATTACTTTAAATGATTTAACAGGAATGAGTATAATGTACATTATTATCAATAACCACTACGAACGTGTATTTCCTATTAATCTGTATAAAGAACGCTAATAGACGGTATTATCCGCGGAGACGGATTTTCAGAATGTTTTCAATGAGTAATTTTAACTTTAAAGCAACAAAGTTTATCTTTTACATAATAATAGAATTCATACAAATTAAAACATTTTTAATATTTGTGACAAGCGTTCCGAAAAGAGGAGGAAAATTCGGTTGACCTCTCCGGCGTAGAACGTAACCGACAAACCCAACCTGAGTATTATTTTTTGTGAACACTGGTTTCGCTTTCGTCATTGTGTATATCGTTGATTTACAATGCGTCTCTATACACACACACACAGTCATAGCCTGAAATGATAATGATCAAGCTATCGAATAGACAGATTACGCTGTCCGTGCCCAGCGTATATCGTATAATTATTGTTATTTTTTGTTATTGATGACCGTTGTATATGTTTGCAGACCTACTATATAATATTATTATTATACACACTGCATCTCATTTATTTGGTTTTTATTACTACCTTTTTTTTACTGTCAATAGGTATTCTTAAATCTCAGACACACTGTACAAATTATTTTGTTATTTATAGCAATAGGCTAGCTATTTGTTATCAATAATATGATCAATATACCATAATACGGAGTTCAGATATTTGTTTAAACATAATTCCGAGAGCAATAAAATCTAAATCGAAATATAATATTAACACCACCATCAATGTAATTATTTTACAAAATATTGCACAAGTTTGATCGGCTTGAATTAATATGGTTAAATGCTTTGATTACTTAAAATATTTTTACTTTTTAAATATTGTACGATCGTTTAATATAATATGCTTATATTTTATTTATGACTCGAATTGAACGTAAATAAAAATGTTAACTTTAAGTCATATTCAGCCACTATTATTCAATGATTTTTTAAAATAATATGAATAAACCATTTTCATATTATTTTTATGATATTATTACGAAATTAGTTTATAATTTGAAATTAATTTAAATTTAATTTGAGAGGGTGTAAATATTCATCAAACTGTTTCAATGTTATGAGATAAATTGTCTATATTAATTACCTAATAATTTTTCTAAAACACAAAATATGAGTAGTATCACTAGTATCGTACTATTTGTACGCATACACATACACGCACAATATAACAAAATAAAGCATATTATTAAATGTATTGAATGTTATACCGAAGATCACTGTAATCCTTTTATTGTAATGCTGAACAAGTATTGATAGTTAAATATTTTGAATTCTAAATTGTAATTTGTAGTTAAATCTTACTTTGTTATTAAAAGGAACATCACGAGTTAGGAGCATGCAGTTTCGTATCTTGCGGCTGGTGCCAAAGCTTCTTCGTGCTTCTGAAGTAGACTTGGCTTCAGGTCTCAGGTGGTCGTGCACACCTTTGGCTTGAAAAAATATTGCATACTCTGTATGCCTCCAAAAATGTGTGACAGGGTAACCACAGTGTCCTCTACAAGGCATTATTTCCAAGTGCCCGTGACACTGTCTATTGGGACACGGTTTACCTACAAATAATCAATAATTATTAGTGGTAAATAATTATACAAACATACATAGAAATTTGACAGGATACAGTGGCACAGCCATTGGGGGTGTACTCAAATCTTTACCCCCCCCCCCATGTCCGTATATGAGGATTTTTATCAAGCGAAGAATTGTATTAGGTATTCAATTTAATTATAATTTGTAACAATAATATATTATATTATATTATGGATCCCTCCTTCCGTCAGGAATTCTCCAGCTGTGTTACAGTGATAGTAGTAAGTACTAAGTACTAAGTAGTATATTATAATCTACACATAAGAGTTACACAATTTAAATAGGGATTTATATGAATATATTAAAAAGAAAACATTTTTAAAAATAAAATAAAATTTTCATATTAGAATGGCCCTAAAGTTAACAAAATAGATAGGTATACTAAAAAGTAAAAAACGTGTTTGATGATACCAGCCGCAGTCAACACATAATGTTATCGTTTTTATTGTCGGACAACTGTCAACCAAGTGGTGTGACATTATTATTATTTTGATTATGATTATTGATTTATAATATTAATTTGAGGAATTAAATTACCTAAATTTAACTTGATTGTTAAAATTTATTGTAGCAAATAAAATTCATACCATCGAAAATATTAATTTAAATATTTGAGCATACATGATTAGTTTGCTCTTAGAATTATTTAGGTACATTGTAAGATGTATATAAATCAATAAAACCCATTTCGCATTATTAGAAAGACATCAAAATATTTTATGTATAGCGTAAAATATTACGCATGAACATTTTTCGTCAAATTGTAATAGTAAAACCTTGGTTTCCATGCGATTTAAAAAAATGTAGAAAGCTCGTTTTCGAATGTTAAGATAATTTTGTCATTATTAGTTTGTGTTAATTAATACTCTTAAATACTCAATTCATTAAAAGCCACAAAATACGGGTAGAGATATTCAAACAGAGACTACGTAATATTATGTTAGATATTGATAAACTAGTTACTAGTAGTCTCTTTAAAATAAAAATATATAATATTATATCGTTTAAAAAAAATCATATTTTAATTCAAATGTTTCTAAAAATATTGGTAGGTTTAATACCTATATTTATTCAGAAATCGACTCCGTGAACATTCTAATCCTCTGGCTTCCAATAATTTCCCCGAAAATCTACTTGTCGACTAAAATGAAAACGGTGCACAGACCTCATAACTTAAGCTAAACTAGTCACAGGAGGTTCAGTCAAAGAACATTGAGTGGTAATAATCTTCACAGACGCGAAGCATTGCTAAATTATCAACATTTTTTTTCATTCAAAACAAGTGGTTATTGTACCGATTTTTTTGTATAGATAGTATATTTTTTCTTTTATGAATAAAAAAAAGTACCTATATGTTTATCATCGTGCATTTGGAACAGTTATTTGTGATGCTCGTTGACCAAACTCTAAAGATCTGTAGACATTTCAATGAAAAAATATTTTCGTATATATACTCACCCCTCTAAATGTTTAAATACAATAACTGCATAACATATAAAATATGTTTATTGTATATGTATCTAACCCTATTGAACTTAATAATTATACCAATTAAACATTTATTTAAACAATAACCTACACTTATTACTCATGTTAATGTTCTTCTAGGTGTTATACGGAGTACATAATTTAATTTAAATATTTTGTTAGCTTAAAAAATAAAAACAATTAACTAACAATGCCCGTTAAAAAAGTACATAAGTTAAGATTAACTTGGTTAATTTGGTTTCTTAGATAATTGTTTATTTTATATTGTTTATTAACATAATAATAATTTACCTTGTTGTTTTTTTCGAGCCTTGTCACATATAGCTGGTCTTAGGTGGACAGTGTCTCCCGAAGGAAGTACACACCTTCTCGAGCATAGCAGAACACCCAGACACGATTTTTTCAATATGTGCACATTGTGATTGTTGGTGTTTCTCATTGCCCATCCAGAAGCGTGTCTCTTTGCTTCTTCGCAATTGGGTGGGTATACCAAGCGACAATGCCCGTCAGCCCATTCTTCCCACAAGTTGAAGTTACTCACCTACAAACGAAAAATAAAACAATGACAATTGATAACACACAAGGATCAAAAAAGAAGCAACCTAAACAAATTTTACAAATTAAAATTGCACTTTTACTTTAAGCAGTAATAGAATTGGAGAATAATATAAAAGGGGAACAGAATAATTGGAAAAAATTGTGTGCACCTTTAAATGTTTTATGATTAATAATATATAACTAGAAAGGGTATCTACATTAAAATATTTTTAAAACAGAAGAGACTTCAAATTCAAGCACTTTGCAATTCAAGCACTTACTATGTCCATGGGTAATGAAATTACAATTAGGTAATATTAAGCAAATTATAATTTATAAACATAATATTAATATTATTTAATTAATTATTATAAATATCCGAAGGTATTAAGAGGATGCTACCCACGCGTTTGTTGTCTCCGTCTTACTAACTTACGACATACCGAATTGTCGTTCACTAGTTTGAATAGAGTGCCTTTATTTTAGATATTAAGAATGAATTTAAGTATTATTAAACTTTTAAGTAAGAACATTATCTATGATGAAGCGTCGGCGGATTTCCGATACTTTCATTTTCAAGCAAGATACGAGTATGTGAAATAACACAAATCAAAAATGCGCACATCTCACTTGAAAATTAAAATATCCAAAAATCCACCGACACTTAAGCATAGATAATGTACTTATCCAAAACTTTGATGATAGGTCAATTCACTCGAATATTAAAACTAACAACACACTATTGAAACTAGTAAACAAACATGTTTTATGGCGTACGTGTGTAAGACGGGGCCAACAAATGCATGGGTAGCGCCCGAATAATGTAAAAAAAAAGATACCTTATGTATAATATAGTATCTCGAAGTTATGACTGATTTATTATAATATAATAATAAAATATAAAATTGTCATACAATAGAATAGAAGATAAAGGCGACCATTTGTGTCAAAAAAAAAAAAATGTTCGTTATCATGAATGAGCAGTTAGCACTAATTAGTAATTATTAGTAAAGTAGTAATTATGTATGATTAGTAAGTCCTATTCTGTTACCCAATTACAATATAAATATCGACATCAAAAAAATTTAAAAATACGATACTCAATCGATTATTTTCTTTAAAGCCACATTAATTATACAAACGTACTGTTCTTGTTGGACAATAATTAATATTGAACATGATGATGAAATAGTTACAGGTATATTTATATAACTACAGGTTATTAAACACTATTTTGGGGACTTTTGCTTCTTCTGTAGGTTCAGTACTGTATATGCTTAAGCATTTTTATTAGATAGGATACCTATATTTTTTAAATAAAATATTAGAGTATTTTAGGATTACCAGAAAAAAATGTACGATATACATTATACACAAACACACAGAACATGTAACATGACGTGTTTATGTATAATGTTAGTAGTATGTTATATGCATGTAGTTTCAAGGAGTACCTAAAGCTCTGGAACCCGTGGTTTTCGTACTCTAAGGACGCCCTCAAAGTCAAAGCTACCGATTGATCATGAAAATATAATTTTTCCATAAAATATTTTAATCCCAATTATTAATCAAATAAATATCTTATTGGTTATTAAATATTAATAAATTAATACAATCAATAGATATAATTATGATACAACACTTTCGTTTATAAAGCGTATAAATTTAAACCAGTTTACAACACATGGGTACTTGATACATACCTATCTTATTGTCTGCCTTTTAATATAACAAATATTTTAAAATATTTTAAAACTTTAAAACCTAATTTAACATAGATAGTTAAATTGCTTACGTAAAGAATGTAAATCAGAATGCAAATATCCAATATTTAATTATAGTCTAACGAAAGACAGACTATAAATAACGTTGTTATGAAATGTATTCTAACATTAACACTATGCATAATATATAAATCCAAGTACTTGTTAAAAATTTGTTTCAGTTTAAATTGCATAATATTTCTAAGATGTTATAAAAGAAATTACATTAAAACTATTTGAAATTAAAACACAATCGAATGAAATATTTAAAAAGTGATGGATATCTACATTGTAACATATTTGTTAGAAAACATATTTTATAATATTACATTTATTTATAGAGACATCATGATTTTCGAAGCCTCAAAACTTAAAATATAAGGTTTAATATAAATACCCATTTAAGTACCAGTATGAATAATACAAGCATCACGTATTATATAGATTTGTATTGTATTGGTCGACAATTTATTTAAAAGCATTCAAATAATAAATAACGCGAAGCATTATTTTATACTAAATATTACTAAAAAAAATTAGATCACAATTTACCCTTGGAATAATCGAATCGTTAATGTCCCAATCTGCAATTCGAGAAATAGATTCTGCAGGAGGTCTTCCACGAGAGTAACTATATTCATTGCTCATGCTTTGATTTTCGTATTCTTGTTTACTAAAATATCACAAATAAAACTTTATAATAATTATTATAAAATTATTTATAAAAGTCTAAGAAATATTTTGTACAATTAATGTACAAAATGTACCTCCGACAGTTATAGGTAATATCGTTGGTAAGATCTTTGGTTTTCAAAACATTTATAGACTTCGCAGAATATAATGGTTATTGATTAATTAGGTATTACCTACCTATCTACATTTTAAAGCAATGCTATGTCGTACAGACAATAATTGATTTAGATTCCACAAAATTAGTGTGATGATAATTTTCGTAGTAGGTTCGGGAAAAACAGTTTAATTATAAAACACTATAGAGGAAAATATGTTCAGCAGTCTGAATGAAACACGAAATGAAAATGTGTCAATTATCAAATTTGTACCTAACAAATGATACAAATTACCTATAGATAATATAGGCAGTTTTAAATAATATATTTTATATAGGATTTCATACTTCATTACTTACATTTTTTCCTTGTTTAAAATCGATACAAAATGTTAAAAATAAACACCAAGAAAAAATAACCCGAAATTCTCGAGGTCGATTTGGTACCTATGTAATAGTAACGGTTATAAACAGATTTTAAATATTGTGAATTCAGTCCGATAGGACTGATAGGAGTTAACTTTAAGCGAGTTAACGTAAACTATATATAACTATAGGTACCTAGATGTATAAAGAGTATTTTTAAACATAACAAACGATTTAATACTATTAACAAGTGGGTAATATTATACAGGTAGATTATTGGCTGGCATTGCACATAGGTAGAGGTGCTTACTTAAACGAAAACTTGTGTGTTCATAATATAATGTTCAAAATTATAATAATTTACTGCAAGCACACTTAAACACGTCTCTCAATAATTGTACTAGACGCATGACGATATATTTTTATATACAATTAATAGAGCTACGATATCATGATAAACCATACACATGGGTAAACAATTATTATTACGATAATATTAAGCTTATAATATACCTACTTATTTACTTATTGTATATACACAGGTATGTATATATATATATATATCCTGGACACTCGAGGTGCCCAATAATATTGCACCTAAGCATATTACTATACTATTACGAATAAGACACCTACCTACTTGATAACATACAATATGAGACACACAACGACACTCTCACCAATAAATAATAATAAGTCTTTAATCGCGCGCCGCCGTCACACGACACACAAAATCAAAGATCCACAACAATATAAGGCACGTCACAATAATATGTCGTCGTGTCGGAACGCAGAAACATACGGACAAACAAATATAGCGGTTTACTCACAAAATGACGACCATAATCGAAGTCCGGTCTGCCCTTCGTCGGCGGTCTCAGATCGAGCGTGCTGCTCTCCGCGGCGGCCGGGCCGATAGTTATTGCGTCGTCGGGTAGGATTTCGACGGCAGTGGTTCCGGTGTGATTATATTGTTACGTTCAGGTATTTACGAGACATAAAGAGTCGTTACACCCATAAAACGTCGGCGGGTACCTACGTCGGATATCGTTATCAAATAATGATTGCGATAAATACTATTTTTATAATTTCAAATTTAATGTCGTTTTATCGTTTTCGTAATCGACTTCGGGACCGTTGGTGGTGGTGGTGGTGGTAATGGTTCGAGAGAAGACGGGACGAAAAAAAAAATGATAGCGCCAGGGCGAGAGAAAAAAAACGCCGGTGGATGGGCGAGCTTCAAGCGCACGGGCGGACGGACAAACGGACCCGGTGCGTGCGAAACGATCACTGATCGACGGCGGCGGCGACGTCGATCCTGTTGCTGGTCCGGACGGGAGTTACACCGAACCGACGGCGGCGACGGCAGCGGCGGCCCTCGGGTTTTGCATTTTGGGCCGTACGCCCGTCGGCCAATGGGAGCGCAGACCGAACCCACCGATTTTAAAACGGTAGTTACACACGCGGCCCCGCTAATCCGTTACCGCCGCCGCCGCCGCGCCACCAACGCCGACGACACGTCGCACGGGTCATAATAATATATAGGTACTCATATCTATGTAATATCATTATCTTGCCTCTATATTATGTAAAAAATTATTATTTATATTTATATATATTAAATTGTAATAATAATAATAATAATAATAATAATATGGGACGATATGTCGACGAGTTGGATCATCTGTACTGTGTATATATATATATATTATGTGTTCTAATATTCATGACATTAAAATATAGGTACATCATAAAGATATATTAAACGCCCTGACGACTGGCAAAGGTAGAAAATATTGTGTACCAGCCACCAGGCACCGAGGTACCTGTATATAGGGTACTGTACCTTTCGCGTTATTTATTATACCCACACCACGACGTATGTACTTGTGTGATGTCTACATTACAATATAATATATTATTATTACTGTGTACTATAATGCGGACACTGGTTACGACTGGTACACGCGTAATTGTATCGTCGAATGTTGTACATTATAGTATGGATAATGGATGTGTGCGCCACTCGCTCGGCTTCTTGGTGGGTCTTTTATTTTTTTTTTTTACATTCGTAGGTAGGTACACCATTATTGATTATATTATAGCCATATACAGGTTGAGTGAAGATTGAAAAGACTTACAAGTCAAACAATAGTGTATGCATACTGTATACATAATAATCTGTAACAGTATAACGGGGCAAGGATGATCTCGTAAAAATAATTCGATGTCCATCGCAGAGCCACGCGCCTATTTCGTACTCAAACCGTAATAAAATTTGGCGTATTCAAGCGATGGACAAGCATGAAACTGGATTCATTTTTATTTCGATTCGCTGTAGTAGAAAATTTGATCTCAATTATTTGTGGACACACATTTAGACCTCTACACATTATAATGCGTACCTCTAATAATAAGTACCTATTTACAATTTAAATATACGTTTTTTTTTTCAATATTACCTAGATTCATATTTCATAATTTACTTGTAGACAGGTACCTCCTTCGCCAATATCTACAGCCCATCGAGCATGCACATTGTACATGTTATCTTATATCAGCTACATACAGTACAGACAGTACAGTACACACCGCGCGCGCGTACAGTCAAATGAATAACCTTTTCCGTTCTTAACTTTTAGAAAATATACCTTCCTCCACATATAAAACAATATAAAAACACAATAATAGAGTGTATTATAGTCACATCACAATGTGATCACAATCACAGACTGTGGGCAGCCACCCCTAAGACATTGCTGCACCTATATATTATATTATAATATAATCTATTCATTTAACGATTTTCTTTGTTCCAGTCTTAAGTTTAAGGTATATATATAAATATATAAGATGTAGAGTCGGTATATTATCATGTATCTACTATCTTTGTATAAATGCTATATGTCTATATGTATTCCTTATGTTATACAATGAATTCTGAAGTGGTTAATTTATTAAAAATTAAGTTAAGAAATATTTGTTAAAAGTGTTAAAATAGTAGAACAATATGTTACAAATTACAATCTAAATGTATTATGATGAATAAATTGTACTATATCTTTGTATTCTATAACTATATATAGTGTAGGTATATCTTAAATGGTGCTTAAATCCAAATCACTGCAAGTTGTATTTATTATATTTTTAGCTGATATTAATTTTGATACTTAATAAGTACTTAGCTTTTTAAAAATTCCATGAATCAAATACAATGTACCTACCTATGTATATAATAAACTTATTTTATGACAGTAAACATAGTTATTTTTTTTTTTTAATGTTCTTTACTTTGTACATCTGAGTTGTTCCCTCAACAAAAGAGTCTAGTTTTAATAATCTGCACTGATTATTTTAGATAAAGTATGTTACCCCTTTGATTACAAGTAACTTACACGTGAAATGGATATCTTATTGCGGTAGAAATAAAAACCTGATACCACCAAGTGTTCAAAAAGTTGTCTACAGGGTGACAATGTGGCGCCAAAGTGAGAAACTCATCTTCCTGTGATCACCCGCATACCGATGTTTATCATTGCGTAATAATATGGATTGTTAAGTTTTTTTTGTCGAAACATTATTGTTTATAAGCCCTTTTGCGCAGACATTATCAATAGATTACACCTTTGTTTCTTATGTTATTTAAACACCTACATTTTTTTTAGATCTTGAACGACTGCGATAAGGAAGAGAGAGTATTGGTACTTTGATAAGTATATAGGGTTATTTGTTTAATTTTTATATTTTTTAATTATATTTCAAGTTATAATAATATTTCAATAAACCAAATTATATGGTGTAAATTCAGTGCTAGAATTTGATAGATGAATACAACTCTTTTTTTCTAAAATATCATTGAATATCTATTTTTTTTTTAACGTTTTACGTCTAAACAAATTTAGTTATTTAATACTTATTTGCAAATTTATCTTTATACACAATTTAAAGACTGCAGTATTACATATTAGTCCATTAAATGAATAGATCACTATAACTAATTTGCGTATTTGCTGACAATCGTGTGGTTATTTATGGTGCGCGATTTAATAATAAATTATATTTCACAGTTAAACATTATTAGCACACCATAAAAATGAACGGCACATAATAAAATGCTTTGCGGTCGTTTAAACTTTAAGCTATTAGGTATAATTTCAGTACAACAGCCTACCTCGAGTGGCTGAAACAAACCACAGGCGGCGGAGGATAGTGAAGTCACCAGATATTGAACCCGATAAACCAAATATAACATACTGTGGTGTACCTCAGTATATTATATCTATCGTATAGTTCAACTTAACAAACATTGTCAGACTGACTGTTATTTTTGACAACATTCCCTTGATTAACTAAGTATAAATTATTATAATTTATTAACTTTTAATATTATATACAGACAATAGACACATTGTTATTTGTTATGTTCCTCTTTGGTTAACTCTGCCAGAGTTCGATATGGGGATTGGTATCTAGATGAAATAAAGCATAAATCATAAAGCAGGCCATAAAAAATAAAATAAAAATACAATTCACTGTATTATGGTTGTTACTTGTTAGTAACAAAGTAACAGGTTAAAAGTAAACACTATTTTTTTTTTTAAATAATAATCATACTCTACTAACTATCAACTGACGTCACCGTCTCTGAGTCTGTCAGATATAAGACCACTGAGCAGTAATCAAATACACTTACACACAACTTCGATATTCTACATTCTAGAAGGATCTATGATCTGTAAATCTATTGATGAAAATATATTTCTAGATTACATCCGTACCTACCTTGCGTTATCCAAATATTATTAGTACTTATTACTTATACGAAATGCATAAGTAACCCTTTATTAAATAATTTTTTCTACGCGACGATACTCTTTTGTAATGATTTGTGATAAACCGTTCAGATAGTAACATTGACTATAAATAATTATTAAAATAATAATACAGTAATATTATTAATAGTTAATACTAATTTATAAATACAATTTACTTATGAAATATACCTAGCATCATACGAGTTATTTTCGTTGGAAATTTAATTGCACACATAACATTTCTATATATTATTATCATTGATCATAATTTTAGTAATTCTATAGTAATGGTACAACTTTAAGGCTTCAACATTCCAAAGAAGGTACCTCCATGTCGGTTAAATACTTAAATACTTATTAAATACAAAGTAAAACATTAAACAACTAACAATAAAACACGAATCTATTTATATAAAGTCTAGGATATTTACTATTGTCGAGATATTAGTACCAAATGATTTACGTCATTACCGTATCGAAATATTATTAAATGAAAAAGTCACACGTGGTTACCTACTTCATTGCACTTACATAAAACTGAATTCCGTTTATAATATGATAATATATTGAATGTAGAATATTGTATACCATGCAATATAATATACTCAATAACATGATGCATAAATAATAATAAATAAATGTGCGCATTGATGAAAATATACCATTAATCATTTATCATTATTCATTAATCATTATATTATACAGTCATGCAGATTAGTTATACGGGGCTGTTTCAATTTAAAAACTGCGAAATCAAATTCAATATTTATATATTATAAGCCATTCGGTTTTAACTCATAATAATAATGTATAATATGAATACAACGTAATTAATTGAAATTTTTTTTTGAATGCTTAAGCGCCTCAATTTTTTTAAAAAATAACATCATATATTATTATAATGTATACTCAATCGATGTCATAGACTATAAAATATATGCCGACATATTATTACTAGCATAATAGTATTTATAACCAATGGTAATATGTATACACTTACAGTGCACAATATGGTGATGAAAAAAACCGGCGCTGATTTTCGATTGCAAACTGCGGTCTCATACGACATCCGACTTTTGAATCTTATTGCAAAAATTATAGATATTATAAAATATACTATGCAACCACGATTATGTGGTTATCTACCACAATATCATGAATAATAATCATCGAGAGTTTAATATACCTATGCGCGTGTGCTGCAGATTATACAACTGAAGCGTACATCCCGAAAACGGCGCACAGAAATCAACGTGTGGGTGTGTATTTCAGCGATTCGCGCCTGCAACGAGTCGCCCACAATTGATAGTCTTACGTTTACGTAAGATCCGCAGCGTAAGTACCTCGTTTTTTGTGTGAAACGAACGCGTTGTGTTCACAATGAAGAAGTCTTAAAAATATATAGTTCACAAAGTCTTATAAAAAAAATCTTCTTGCTGAAGACCAAAGTCTAAAGTACAGTCCGTCATAGGTTCCCATTACAGCCATGGGGTTTCCACTATATGCGCGTGCCGTGTACACGAAAAATGTTCAGCTATGCCCAACAACACGGTAACGTGGTTATTCGTGTGGTTACCTAAGCTAAACAACCAATCACAGCAAAGGATTTGTATGCGCGTATGCGCTCACGTGTATAGTGGAAACCCGCCTTATGTACGTCAACGCACTGTCCGGTTACAACCGCAGCGGTAATAGACCGTCCGGGTCAACCG